CATTGATTTTCCAAGCTGAGAAAAAGGTTGTAAAGAATCATGCTTGCTATTAATATATACTATAGTAGTTGTCCAGTGGTTGAAAACTCGACCAAAAATATGTAATGTACACGCATTGACTATTGGATATTGAAGTAGACATTCCATCTGCCATTTTTAAATTAAAAAAAACCTGTAGTTGTGTAAGCTAATCACAGTATGCGTGTCAAAAATGATATTTTCTATCTTATTTTTTTATACTGACAAAAATGATGGGTCATAACAGTTGCATTAGCTCTGAATAGGCCTAAGCCATTCCATAGGTTCGACTTCGTAAAAATCACCGTATATTCAAGAAAAAAATTATTGATTTAGATCAGAGCAATCTGGCGGCCCACATCAACTACGACAAATTTAATAAAAAACTGGCAAAAACTTTAAAATGGGGATGGAAATTGCAAATCGTTCTACCAAATTCATTGTAGTAGTCTTTACACTTGTGTGCAACAAAAGGACTAATTACAAACTCTAACCTAAAACTCAGAATCGTTAGAGTCCAAGAATTTTCTGTACGTTATGAAAAGTAGGAAACAAGGTCAGTCGACGGATGCTTTCACCCCTTCAAGCAGTAGCAGTGACGGTAACGGGCAACGTTAGTTGGGTAGTGTACTTTGTGTAGGTTAACTGTTGCTTACTGGGTAGGTAAAATGGATGGTTTATGTGTATTCCTATAATAGTTTTAGCATATCTGGAAAATTTCACACTTAATATGCATACAAACTGCTGTTCTGAATAAATAAAGATTTTAATAGACTACAAGATCCCCGTATGTAGAACGGGCACACAGATAGTGATTATTATTGCAGAAATTAATAGACAGCTGGGTTTTCAACCTTAGTCAATATATGCAGTTACAGTAAACATGGTTCATTCAACATAGCCACTAACACTGTGCTCTTGTTGTGGAAACCTTTTAAAAGAATTGTGCTTCTGTTGATAAATCTTCTTCATTCAAGAAAATTAAGTAAAGGTTCACATTTAATAACTCTGTGATCTAACTCACACCTTGTGTTAGTGTTAAGATAATACTTTATTTTGATTATTAATTTTAACAACCTTGAATGAATTGGTTACAATAAGTTGGCAAGATGAATGTAACCTAATTAATACTGAATATTTATATGATATTAATGTAAAACACAAACTCTTTCAAAGTGAAACACAACATTGTACAATGTAGCTGAATAAATGTGACAGAAATAAGTTGATCAAAAAGGAAATAAGTAGAATGTAAGAATTAGTTCTGTCTGATGTTTACTAGGTTCTCGTTCATTGAATATTTCAAGTAAAGATGTGTTGCCTCCTCAGTTACTGTTCAGCAGTTCAGCCGACTTTGACAAAGAGGTAAGGGTTGATCCTGGTAAACCATCTTGCCATAAAACCCACCTTAAATGATGAAAATCAAGAAATGAAAAAAGCAGGCAACTAATATCAGTTGCAAACTTAATACTTTGAAATTATAAAATGAAAAAAATTATGATGTCATTCATATTTAGGAAAATCTAGTTTTAAATAAAACATTAATTTATTCATAAACAATAGTAAAATTAAGATTATCTAAGAAAACTGTTGATGTAAGGGATGTTGCATTACAATCAATGAGTTGACAGATGAGTGTTCAGTTGGGTTTTGCTAGCAAAAGTCTTCTCACAGACAACACACTTGTGATTCCTGGCGATTCCATGAACAGCCATGTGTTGTTTGACATGTGTTCTTAGTTTGAATGTCTTTCCACAAATGTTGCACTCATGAGGTCTGCTATCTGCATGTGTATGCTCATGCTGCTGTAAATTATTTTCCCTTTTAAATGCTTTGCCGCAAGTGTTACAAATGTACGGTTTATCATCAGAATGTGTCAAGGAATGGAATCTTAATGTTTGTTTTGTTTTGAGCATTTTACCACATATTTCGCAGCTGTGAACTGTACCTAAGTGATCATTTCTAAGATGTTCCAACAAAGTATCTTTAACAGTAAACATTCTACCACAATTTGCACATTTATATTTCTCCTGAGGCAAATGGTGTTTTTTGATGTGCTTCGCTAAACTCTCTTTACACACAAAATCACTGTTACATTCTGCACATTGGTATTCCTTTGTATCCACATGCATTAGAGAAGTATGTCGTGTTAGATTCATTTTCCGAGCAAATGACCTATTACAAAGTTTACATGTAAAAGAGAGATTTTTCTTCAATTGATAATGTTTCACGAATATGCCTGTTGAGCACCGAAGTCTGAGTAAAACCTTTGTTACATATTTTACAAATCTCTTTTTTTAAACATCCCAAATGTATGCGTGATATATGAGACTTCAATGCAGAGTAACTGCAAAATGATTTGGCAGAAGTTGTACACTGGTACTTATTGATATTAGTATGTGTAGTTTGATGATGTCTTCTCAAATGCCTTTTATCTATGTATCTGCGGTCACAGAGAGCACATTTAAAATATTCTTTTAGGGAACCTCTATTATCTTTTACACTATTTGGCATGACAAACGTTCCAAAGTCACTTTTACACTGAACACACTCACACAGAACACCATTCAACTGAGCTGTGCACTTTCCTTCTTTAATTTGAATCTGAAACATACAACACTGACCTTCAGACTGATAAGCTAAGAGTTTAGAGTATCCTTTGTACAATTTTAGTTAATATTAAGTTTTAATGTGTTTTCAGTGAGGATAATAACAAAGTTATAATTACAAAGGTTGAACATAGAATACTAAAGGGAATGAAATGAAATGAAATGAAATATTACTTTATTATCACAAAAACATTTCACAGATCCAGCGTTAGCTAGTGAAACAGGTGATATTGTCACAGATCTTAAACACTAAGTTACATAACAAAACTAAAATCCACATACAGTAGAACCTCTTTAATCCGAACTAATTGGGACCGGGGGTAGTTCGGACTATTGAATAGTTCGGATTACAGAACATATTGTTGTTTTTACATAACAATAGCTAGGTAAAAGTGTAAAATGCTTTATAAAGTAAAATACAGTGTTTATTTAATACAGTAGTAAACATAGGGAATAAAAAGTACTGTACATTAGAATTAAAATAATTACGGTGCGTATATCAATAAATACAGTTTACAATAAAGAGCTACTGTACAGTGTATAGAGTACAGCAATGAGGCGTTCGGATTAGTGGACGTTCGGATTACAGGGGTTCGGATTAAAGAGGTTCTACTGTAGCTTAAACTGAAATATATTTACTTATCATTTAAATAATCGGAAATCTTAAAATAATTTTTTTGTACAAGGTATTGTTTGAAATCATTTTTAAATTTTGAAATACTGTTAATTTCTTTGAAATTTGAGGGTAGACTGTTGTAAAGCCTTAATCCAATATAATAAGGAGCTCTTTCATATAAACAAAGGCTATGTCTTGGACATTAAAAAATTAGCTGATGCTTGATGGGAAATCTGTGCGTGCTTCAATTTAATACCTCAATCATGAAAATCGGTCGGGTAGAAGAGCCAAACGATCTCGGAAAAGAAAAACCAAATTTAACTCCTATAAGAAATATACTAATTCACAAACCAATTCATCGCTAATATATGGGTTAATAAAAATATTACATAAGGTTTCCCCAAGTAAGCCTAGAACAAGCCTTCAAACACAACTTCAACTGTTAATTTAGTTGGATGGGCTCAAAGCGAACATGTTTGTTATATTATTTAAAATGGAACTTTCAATTAACCTCCAAACAGGATGTTGAGACTATTAGTATGCGATTCAGGTTAGTGTCGTCATTTGATTATATTATTTATGATCTATACCGTTTCTGTTCTAATATCCGTGTAGTAATGCTATCAGCTATTTCTTGATCTACGTCATTCAAAATCTACCAGCTGATCTTATGCCTTTGTTTATGTGTCAAATACTGCTTCCATAAGGATTACATTGAAACTTTGAGGGCCCGTGGGGCGGATTCCTAAGAGATTTTTTTAACGTCATATAGATGTTGGCACTCACCGATAGGGTCTTTAACACCATGCAAAATTTGAAAACTATTGCTTTAGGCGTCTAGGAGGAGTTTGCGTATTACGAGATGCATAAGAGTTGACGTACAATGAGGGGTAAATCTAATATTTTAAAGGAGATATTTGAGTGAAAATCGATTCAGTGAGGCACATGGTAATTTGATTTGTCTTCTGGTTTGCTGGAGCTGGGGTATTATAACTATTGTTTTGTAATTTTCTCCGTGAAAACTTTTTGATTCTTTAGCAGGAAGTGAATTCATAGAAAACGAACAGAACTTGGTAAAATTCAAATTTATAACACAAAATAAAAAAAAAAAACTTTAAAAACCCAATGTGTATATTGACTTAATTTAAATGAGAACTCATAAACACCTAAAATACATAAATTATTGATCAGGTCAAACAAATATTTTAAAAAAGCTCAGCTCAGCTGTGGTTTCTGTCTGCTGATTGTGCATTTCAAGTAAAGATGTGTTTGCCTCCACTGTAATTGTTAAGCCATCACAGTGGAACGACTTTAACAAAAAAGTAAGGGTAGATCTGCGTAAACCCAAATCTTGCAATAAAAGTAACCATCAAAAAAATAATTATCAAAAATTCGCAAAATATCGCAAATTTTTCATGAAATTAAAAACATAAACATAACTATAACAATCGTACTTTGACAGTTAGTTCTCATTGCTTATCACATTTTTTTTGCCACTTCAAATAATCTGTTTTCATAAATGCAAACAAATATAGTGCTGCACCCTGTTGGTAAACCTTATAACTTTTTAATGCTTTTCCCTATCATAGAACCAACTTTTTTTGTTGAAACAGCTGACTAAATTCTTTAATCCACTTTAAATATAAATACTCATCAGGTTAACATGGGGAACTACAGAGCCACTGGGGCGGATCCCGAAAAAGGTTTTGAGATAAGAATATGCCTATATGTTCATTGGGAATGTGAGCTATCATCATGCCAAATTTCAACCCAATCCGTCCAGTAGTTAATGCGTGATTGAACTTCAAACAAACAAACAAACAAACACACAAACATTCACATTTATAATATTAGTAAGATTCATAAACACAAAAAAATATATTATTTTAGAAAAAAGCTATGGAAGTGGATGTTACATTACAATCCATGAGTTGACATATGAGTGTTCAGTTGAGTTTTCCTGGCAAAAGTCTTCTCACAGACAACACACTTGTGATTCCTGGTGATTCCATGGACAGCCATGTGTTGTTTGACATGGGTTCTTAGTTTGAATGTCTTTCCACAAATGTTGCACTCATGAGGTCTGTTATCTCTGTGTGTATACTCATGCTGCTGTAAATTACCCTCTCTTTTAAATGCTTTGCCACAAGTATGACAAATGTACGGTTTATCATCAGAATGTGTCAAGAAATGTAATATTAATGTTTGTTTTGTTTTGAACATTTTCCCACATATTTCACAGCTGTGAACCGTACATAAGTGATCGTTTTTTAAATGTTCCAACAAAGTATCTTTAACAGTAAAGATTCTACCACAATTTGCACATTTATATTTCTCCTGAGGCAAATGGTGTTTTTTTATGTGCCGCACTAAACTCTCTTTACACACAAAATCACTGTTACATTCTGCACATTGGTATTCCTTTGTATCCACATGTACCTGATAAGTATGTCGTGTAAGATTTTTTTTCTCAGCAAATGACTTATTACAAAGTTTACATGTAAAAGAGAGATTTTTGTTCAATTGATAATGCACATTACGAATATGGTTCTTGAGCGAACTTTTTGAAACCAAACCTTTGTTACATATCTTACAAATCTCTTTTTTTAAACATCCCAAATGTATGTGAGAAATATGAGACTGCAATGCAGTGTAATTGCAAAATGATTTGGCACAAGTTGTACACTGGTACTTATTGGTATTAGCATGTGTAGTTCGATGATGTTTTCTCAAATGCCTTTTGTCTATGTACCTGCGGTCACAGAGAGCACATTTAAAATATTCTTTTAGGGAACCCCCATTATCTTTTACAGTATTTGGCATGACAAACGTTCCAAAGTCACTTTTACACTGAATACACTCACAAAGAACACCATTCAACTGAGCTGTGCAGTTTCCTTCTTTAATTTGAATCTGAAGCACACAAAACTGATCTTCAGACTGATAATCTTACCGTTTTTACCTTCCTTTGTACAATTTTAGTAAATATTTTGTGTTAATTTGTTTTCTTTTCAGTCAAGATAATTATTTAATTATGAAGGTTGTAGAATACTACAGTGTGAGGCGATGAGAGAATGAATTTTCTTTTACTGTTAAACTAGCTGTTACCAACGGGCTTCACCCCGTTTGACTTCATAAGTATTAATTAAACTTTTGATTGGTTTTTATTTTTTTCAATGCCAGTGGCATTTTACTAGAGAGTCACGAGAGAAATGTTTAGTGGATGTGCCGGGTCAGGTGTTTAATAATCACACCTGATTTTAAGAAGGTAATAAATTGAAAGAATAACATAAAAATAAGTACAGCTGATTTATTTTTAACATGAGGTGTATGGAAAGTTCCCTTTTTGGAAAGCAATAACGACCTTATAGGGCAATTAATGAAATAATGGATAGTTTTGCGCAAGGTTTCTCGTCGTGACAAACGATTTAAGTATATGGTTTATAGGCTTATGGTTTTATAGGTTTATGGTTTATGACTTGTAGTTTTCTCAAAATTTTATGGGTACTTTGGGCTTTATATAAGTACTGTTGTGGTTAAATACAACGGTCTCTAATAAAAATAATGGTTATGAAATCCATTCACCACTCTACTCACTAATATTAATGGTACAGATTAAGCACATAACATTAGAATCACACACTTAACATAAGGAACACACTTTAAACACAAATGCAAATTGTTAACAATAACATTAAAGAAAAATCAATTAAATAACAATATAACAATAAGCTGTTAAATTATTTACACATGTTTCGTATGGTTAGATTATGCATGCTGGTATTGCATAATCTGGTATTGCATGCAGTAATTTGCCGTCTACAAAAATTATTGGTTTTTCTTTTTGAGTCGGGTAATCTCTCCTACCCGACCGATTTCCATAATTTTGGCCTTAAACTAAAGGTATGGACGTACCACAGATTTGCCATCAAGCATCAGCATTCATTTTGACGTAGTTTTCAAGTTATGCACAAAACGCGTCCCAGTGCATTTCTTATGGGAGTTAAATTTGGTTTTTTCGAGTTTGTTTGGCTCTTCTACCCACCATATTTTCATAATTTTGGTCTTAAAATAAAGCTATGCAAACATATATTTGTCATCAAGCATCGTCATTAATTTATCTCATGTATTACGTGACAAAAAAATATAAATTTTTTTTTATTTTTTACTTTAATTAAAGATGTATTACAGCAGTTTGTTCTAATTACATTACCCTATATGTTTTGGTCTAAAAATCTGTAGTGAAATGACAGCTTTCATTTGAGTTATTGATTATTAATATTCTGATTTTAATAATCCTACCCAAAGCACTCTGCTGAGTGCTGAATCACAAAATCAACAATAATTATAATCGTTTTAGTACTTATCTGCAACCAATGATACAAAACTCTATTTTTATTTAAGTTATTTTGTATACCTTAGTCTTAAAATACTTCAAAGGCTTTCACTTGAGATATTGATAGTTGTAATCAGTTATGTTAAAGATATTGTATCGCTCATCCAGAATATATAAATTTGATTATATCTTGGATATAGAATTTAGTTTTAGATATACTTACTCAATTATTATTACATTGATCTATTTGTTTTGACCTAAGAACCTTCAGTGAAATACCAGCTTCCATTTGAATGATTGATTATTAAGATCGGACGTACCTAAAGCACACTGCTAAATCACGAACAACCCAAATTGTTCAAAAAATGGAGTTATTTATCATCGATTTATAGTCAAACGATCTTGCTTGCAACCACAAAAGAAACTGTCGACTTTCACGGGTTTCACCTAGTTAATCTTTAAAAAAATCAAACTTTCATAATTATTTGAAAATCTACACAAAATAGGCTTTCCAATGACCTATTAATTAATAAAGAAAGTTCAATAGAACTGTAGATTTAATTTTACAAATTTTAACAACAACATCTTTAATTCAGTATTTACTCACCACTATAAATTGGGAGGTTGCTTAACGTTTTTGAAAATAACTTTGAAATGGTGAGGAAATCAACCAATGTGATATTCTGATAGAGAGTAAAATTTCCTACAAATTACTACAGTAGAACCTTGATAAGAAGACTCTCAAGGAGATTATTAAATGAGACTTGTTATCAAGGTTGACTCCTTATTGAGGTTTGCAATAACATGTGATTTGGGGTAAAATAAATTCAAGGGGATTTTAAAAAATGACACTTGTTATCAAGGGTGACTTGTTATCGAGGGTCTTCTTATCGAGGTTCCACTGTATTATGTATTCCTTGAAATGATCATGTACTCAATAAAGGCAGCCCAAAGTTGCCTACAAATATAAGCTTGGAAATATATACTTGGTAAAAAGCGTTTTAAATGAATTATTGATTATTTTAATTTTGTTCACCTCAAATATGTAATAAAATCAAACTTTCATAATTATTTGCAAATCTATACGAATTAAGCTTTCTAACGACCCATTAAGTAACAAAATCAGTCTGATAGAAGTCTAAATTTAGTTGTACAAAGTTTAACAAAAATATAGGTATCTAATTTAGTATTTTCTCACTATTATAAATTTGGAGATCACTTAGCTTATTGCGAATAACTTTTAAATGGAGGGGAAATCGACCAAAGTGGATGTGATATTCTGAAAGAGAATAAAATATACTGCAAATAACTACTATGCATTTCTTGAAAATACTTAATAAAGGCAGCCAAAAGCTGGCTACAAATAGAAACCTGAAAACAGAAACTTAAAAAAAGCAGTTTTTAACGTATTATTGTTATTTTTACTTTTTGCCACAAATATTTAATAAAATCACACTTTCATAATTATTTGAAAATCTACATAAATAAGGCTTTCCAATGGCCCATTAATTAACAAAATCGGTCCGGTAGAAGTCTAGATTTAGTTGTTCAAAGTATAACCAAAATATCCCGAACTCAGTATTTTCTCATTACTACAAATTCAGAGGTTGCTTAGCTTTTTTGCAAATCTATACTTATTTAATACGCAAGCATGTTTTTTGTGACAATTACTCCTCCTAAACTGCTGAACCGATTGACATGTTTTTGGTGTCATTGGAAAGAGCGTAACGTGAAGTTGTGCAGGAAACTTTCTTTTTAGAGAAATAATTAAAGGGTAAGGCCCTGGAGCCCTTTAAAGTTTCGTATTTCTCCATAAGATTAACATGGGGAACAAATATTGTTATGCAACTCCAGCTGTTGTCAGAAATTAAAAGTGAGAAGAAGAACATATGTTAATTTTAAACAGTCAATAAGTTTGCTAATTTTACAGTTTGCTACAAACAATGAAATATTTACTATTTGAATTCGGGTTGGCGTAAATACTATTACATAGTATTACAATGGAAAAAAGCGAGAGAGTCTGGATAAATTGATATATTCTGTTATGTACATCTTGAATATTTCCATAATCTTTGGGTCGAATCTTTATAAAGTCATCAGAAATTATGAACGTTATTCCTTTTATCCTTTTAAAATAACGCCTCTAATACTTAGAAATTGCTCGAATTCGAGCAACAGGGACACTAGTAACTTTTAAATGGTGAGATAATCAACCAAAGTGGAGGATGATATTCTGATAGTGAATAAATTCCTGCAAATTGATACTATGCACTTCTTGGTAAATACTCAAAAAATGCAGCCAAAAGTCGCACCCAAATAAAAAGTGTGAAAAACACCGTTTTCAATGCATTTCTCATGGAAAAAATGTTTTTTTTTATTTTACACCATAAATCATAACAAAAACAAACTTTCATAATTATTTGCAAATCTACACGAATTGAGCTATCCAACAACCCATTAATAAATAAAATCGGTCAAGTAAAACTCTAGATTTAGTTGTACAAAGATTTTTAAAAACTGAATTATATAAAGTAGATGAGAAATATTGCAACAATTATTTGACAGCTGTGTTTTAACCCCGATTAAAATACCATAAAATCTATATAATTAATACGCTACATGAAACTTTGTCGGTTGAACTCCTACGCCATTTCTTAACCGATTTTAACCGTTGATGTCTCATTGGAAAGAGCGTGTCGCGTAGATTTGCAAACTGACCTTACATTTTTGAAAGCGTCCCTTGGGCTCTGCCACAGTGGCTTTGAAATGTCCCATGTTATCCTTATGGAGAACATAATTGTTTACATTTTGATCAGCTGTATAATTTAATTGCTGTTATTTATTTTTTCAATTCAATGAAACGCATTGAGTACATTTATTTACTATTTGAGTTTGTGTAAACATAACCCCAAGACGGATCGTGTAGTATGGTTGTATCTTAAATTTGTGTATTTATCGATGTTTTGTGTCGCTATGACGGATCGTGTTAGCATGATTGTAACTTAAAATTGTGCGTTTATCATTGTTTTGTGTAGCTATAATTTGTTTATTTGTTGTTTATTCTTTTAAATGCCTCCGATGCGACGACAACGAAACATAGACAGGAGGCGTAATCGTAATAACGACCTCAGCTACAGAACAGTGGCGCGTAATAGGTTTAACTCATCCACAGTCAGCACCTGACCCTGGACAATCTCAACTATTAGGTTATAAATGCGCCCTAACACTACCCCAAAACGACTTTTTGTTCTCAATTGGCCCTCTATCAATGACCTGTGTTGCATGTATAGCGAGGCATTTACAGAAGGAGAAAACCGGCTGGAATTCTTTAGGTTTATCAATAACGAAGATAAACATAGTCTGAGTTACACACCGGTAATCTTTGAGTTGGCTCTTTTAAACTCATTGTAAATATGACCGTTATTCGTTTTGAAATAACTCCTGTAATACTTTGCAATTGCTCGAATTCGAGCAACATGTACACTAGTTATTATTAACACAGTGAGAGTATTCTTATGAGTATTCATATTTAAAGGAATTCAAGAATTTTGTCAGCTGTTTCAACTGCACAAGTTGGCTTGACGATATTAAATAGCATTAAAAGGTTAGACTTACCAACAGGGTGCAGCACTACTATTTTTTTTTTCATTTATGACAACAGCTAATCTGAACCAACTAACAACAAAAAAATTGTGGTACACAATGAGAACTTTACTTTTTTCTATGGTTTAGTTGCAGTGGTAAAACATTAGGGATATGGTACTTTTTTATACTTTTTAATGAAATGGCGACCATACAAAGTAGGTATTTTAAGCCAAGTATGAATGGGGATGAGTGTAGGATGAGTGGCGCGATCTTGTAGTCTTGTTAGTGACTAAGGCCGACTTATTACTTAGACACAGCTGTTAACTAATAGCCCATACAGCTAATGGTAACTAAGAGACCTACAGCTTATAGTGGAATCCGAACCACATTTTAGCCTTGGTATATACAAATTGGTATAGTTTTCAGGATAGTACAGCGGATAGTCGTATTACTCACTCGTGCGGATGTTAATCCACACCAGGGAGTATCGCATCCACAGTGTATGCCTATGGTAGATGTGTGCTAGACTATAGGATACCCTATAAATTAAAAGACAACAAATTTTCCTAAACCGTGTCCTTTTCCATAACTCTAATAAGCATTTTATACTTATATGCCAACCCCATACGAAGGACGGGTACACTGCAAGTACTTAATAAATATGTGATAACTCACACCTTGTTAGTTTTAGGATGAATCTTTATTTTGATTACTCATTTTTACACCCTTAAATTATTATTATACCTTGGAATTACGCGAGAATTCAAAAAATTATGTCACTCATTATTAAGAAAAAAAGTATTGTTTTAAATCAAAAATAGCTTTATTCATAAACACTAGTAAAATTAAGATTATTTAAGAGAACAGCTTCAGTCGGGGATGTTACATTATAATCAATGAGTTGAAATATGAGTGTTCAGTTGGGTTTTTCTAGCAAAAGTCTTCTCACAGACAACACACTTGTGATTCCTGGTGATTCCATGGACAGCCATGTGTTGTTTGACATGGGTTCTTAGTTTGAACGTCTTTCCACAAATGCTGCACTCATGAGGTCTGTTATCTGCATGAGTATGCTCATGCTGCTGTAAATTATTTTCCCTTTTAAATGCTTTGCCACAGGTGTGACAAATGTACGGTTTATCATCAGAATGTGTCAAGAAATGTAATATTAATGTTTTTTTTGTTTTGAACATTTTCCCACATATTTCACAGCTGTGAACCGTACCTAAGTGATCGTTTCTAAGATGTTCCAACAAAGTATCTTTAACAGTAAAGATTCTACCACAATTTGCACATTTATATTTCTCCTGAGGCAAATGGTGTTTTTTTTATGTGCCGCACTAAACTCTCTTTACACACAAAATCACTGTTACATTCTGCACATTGGTATTCCTTTGTATCCACATGTACCTGATAAGTATGTCGTGTAAGATTTTTTTTCTCAGCAAATGACTTATTACAAAGTTTACATGTAAAAGAGAGATTTTTGTTCAATTGATAATGCACATTACGAATATGGTTCTTGAGCGAACCTTTTGAAACCAAACCTTTGTTACATATCTTACAAATCTCTTTTTTTGAACATCCCAAATGTATGTGTGAAATATGAGACTTCAATGCAGTGTAATTGCAAAATGATTTGGCACAAGTTGTACACTGGTACTTATTGGTATTAGCATGTGTAGTTCGATGATGTTTTCTCAAATGCCTTTTGTCTATGTATCTGCGGTCACAGAGAGCACATTTAAAATATTCTTTTAGGGAACCTCCATTATCTTTTACAGTATTTGGCATGACAAACGTTCCAAAGTCACTTTTACACTGAACACACTCACAAAGAACACCATTCAACTGAGCTGTGCACTTTCCTTCTTTAATTTGAATCTGAAACATACAAAACTGACCTTCAGACTGATAACCTAAGAGTTCAGAGTATCCTTTGTACAATTTTAGTTAATATTTAGTTTTAACATGTTTTCCGTCAGGAAAATTATAATTACAAAGGATGAACATAGAATACTACAGGGTGAGGCAATGAGAGAACCCCAATTTTTGTTTTGCATTATCATTTTTGAATAAGAAATATTGGGACAATAAAAATGGACTGTGTTTTAACCCCTATTAAATATGCCATAAAACTATTATAAATACAGTGCTATTCCAAGTCTTAAGGCAGCCCTTGTGTGTTCAGTTACAGCTGACAATTTTCTGATATTGTTTAACACAAAAGTTGAAACACATTAACTGTGAATTTAAGTTCGATACAACAAACTGAAAACTGTAGGTTATCAGAAAGGTTTGAAACAATATTAAAATATTACAGTTAATTATCCACGAATGACCTTTGAAATTTTCTGTTTGCTTGTTCATCACAATTTTTTTATTCAATGTTGTCTAATATTTGTATTGCTACAAGTATTCTTTTTTATATTCGCAGTAGCAGTAATAACCAAGTCCTCATCCATATATAAAGCTAGGATGGATTTGAACTTTTGAGAAAACCATAAGACGCACACCTATCAATCGCATACTAAAATGAAAAGTCTTGCTGTGAAACTTCCCTGAAAAATATCAGGTTTTCAATAAGCCCTTTCCTAAGGGCAGGACCATCAATTAAAGGACTGTATATAATTAGATGTAAAACGTTGAATATACACCAGCTGTCGATTTGTTTGTTAATTTTCCTTGAGTTAACCTTTTGATTTTAGGCTTTTAGGTACCATAGATTTCTATATTGCATCAAGAGTAGATTATAATTTCTAGTGACTTGGACAATGATAAAATTTATTTTCATAAAGAATAAGTGCTTTATCAACCAGCAGTCAGGCCCGTTTTTGACCCTGTCAGCGCCCTAGGCACATCTAATAGTAGCGCCCCTTTGCAATATATATATAACAGGGTGTCCACCGACCGGGAAATCCGGGGATCGTGCGGGAGATTTTTGAACCGTGAATTTTGTATTTCTACCTGGAATTTTCAATTTACCGTGATCACGCATGACAAAAGTGACGTTTCCGTGATCGCGGGAGACGACAACATGTCTACACACGGCCGCGAGGGATGATCAGAATTTTCCGCGATCGCAGAAGACGATGATGCAATGGAGCCGCAACGGATAATCAGAGTATTGCCGCGATCACGGAAGACGATGTTAATGTCCACACGACCGCGGGAAACAGCATGAATTCTGCCGAGATCGTAGAACGATGATCTCCACACAACTGGAGGACATTATTAACATTTTACCTCAATCGCGGGAGACGATTACGATGTCTTCACAACTGCGGGAAACGATTACGATGTCTACAGAACCGCGGAATACAACAATTATTTCTACACGGCCACGAGGGATGATCACAATAATCGCTCAAGACGATGATAATGTCCACATGACCGCGGGAAAAGATCAGAATTTTGCCTCATTCGCCAAAGACGATTATCTCCATATGTCCGCGGGAGATGATTACCATTTTGCCGCAATCGCGGGAGGCGATCACTACATGTCCAAACGACCAACGGGACAATTTATAATGATGTCTCCGAGGCCGCGAGGGGTGACAATCGCGCAAGACGATGATTATGGCCACACGATCGCGGGAAAAGGTCAAAATGTTGCCTAATTTGCGTAAGAGGATGATGAGATCCACAAGACTGAGGGAGATGATTACCGTTTTTCCACAATCACGGGAGGTGATTACTATGTCCACACGACCGTGGGGGACGATATGATGTCTTCACGACCGCGAGGAGTGGTCAGAATTTGACTGCGATCGCGCAAGACGAAGATAATGTCCCCACAACCGGGGGAAAATATCAGAATTTTGCCTCATTTGCGTTAGACGATGATAATCTCCTCACGACCGCGGGATATGTTCATATATTGCCCCGATCATGGAAGACGATAATTTTATGTCCAAACGACCTGACTGCAGAAAATAGTAAGAATCTTGCCACAAACGTGGGAGACGATTACGATGCCTACACGGCCGCGAGGGGTTATCAGAATTTTACCACGATAGAATGCAAATACTACCACGATTTTTTTTCAATTTCCAAATTTTTGGCGCCCCCAAAAAAAGCCAATTGTCTCGCGCCCTAGGCACGTGTCTACCGTGCCTATTCGGTAAATCGGCCCTGCCAGCAGTTTGCATAGACAAGGCAGGGGCAGAACAACTAGTTAAAACTGATGGTGATTAAATGAGGAGTAAATCTAATATTTTTGCGAATTTCCCATATAGGGAATAAGCTATTACCGTAGTACGCATGTTAAGACCTGGACGCGGGACCGATTTTTTTTTCGTTTTGAGGTCCCTAGAGGCCAATATATATATCTATATATATAATTCTGTAAGACAAAATTTTTACCAGAAAATATTGGACGTCTGGTTAGTCGCAGAAAAGTGGGAGGGGTCTTAAATTAAAGGTCTTGACCCCAGGGACTCGGGAAAAATAGCACAATTCCCATAAAGTTACCAGAAAACGAAATATAACGTAAAATGTTTTCCATAAGAAATGCATTAGAAGCCATATTTACTGCAGATTTTTGTTTACTTCAATACAGCTGATCGTGATTGATCATTAAGCCAGTATGCAATGGGATGAATTTACTTTACACTAATTTTGTTACCTTAACAAAAGGAGTATACACTTAGGAATATTAACTGGGTAGGGATGCTAATTTAAGACACTTTCCAAAATTCTAATCAGGGAAGCCCTTTTTTATCACCATTAATCACAAAACCAAAGCTACCTTAACAAACCAGTATTTATTCACAAACAATTATATATTTGCTGCCTTTAGCAGAGTTAAACCTATGGAGTAATTTAAATTATTTATTGGAAATAACCAACAAAAGCAAACAAAGACAAACAACAAACTGTTTTTTACACAAAAGAAATTGTGTAAAGGGATATTACATATTCTGACACATAGATAATATATTTCTGAGTTTGTTTACATATTAAAACAATTTGTTTTATATCACCGAGCTTTTTAGGGACTTTTGTAAACTGTTGTAGTTTGCTTGTTTATGAACATATTTTGATCAAATTTGGAAAATTTTTTTATTTCTTACTTACTAACTATTAACATTTTGAAAAAAAAACAGTTTTTCCCTCCCTGATGAAGCAAACCTAAGCACTTGTTAAACTAATTCTATTTAAATCGGGAATAAATGTTATATTTTTAAGTATACATTTCAGTGTAAATCCAATCAGTCAAATGGAAATTCGCTTAGTCTGCAGGTTTGCTGCGGCGGGAGTATTTTATTGTAGTCTAAATTAGGGGCTGTGGCCCCTACAGGCCAGTTTATTTATATATACTAGCTGACCCGGCGAACTTCGTATCGCCTAAGTTATAGGTTTCCCCTAAGACAGACCGATGGAAAGAAAGTACCGTTACGTTTAATTTTCAAGATGATCTCGTTCGCATCGCTCAATCACGTCCTGGTTGAAGTTTGTTCGCTACGCTCACTCACCTTTGGTTTGGAGCTCGTTCGCTACGCTCACTCACCTTTAGGTTGGAGCTCGTTCGCTGCGCTCACTTGCCTTCAGGTTAGCTCGTTCGCTAACTCGCCTCCAGGTTGAAGTTCGTTCGCTACGCTCACTCACCTTTTGGTTGCAAATTAGCTGTTGTCATAAATGTAAAAGAAATAATAGTGCTGCACCCTGTTGGTAATCCTTGTAACTTTAATGCTATTGAACATCATAGAACAGAACCAACTTGTTTAATTGAAACAGCTGTTCAGATTCATTAATTCCATTTCTCATAAGGTTAACATGGGAAACTCCAGAGCCACTGGGGCGGAGCCCTTTTAAGAATTTCGAAACGGGAAATAGTTTACGTCCGATTCGCATACCTACAGAATTTACACACCAAATTTCATAACGATCGGTGAAGTCGTTCCGGAGGAGTTTGCAGACAAACACTGTGACACGAGAATTTTATATATTAGATGTGTCCGTTAGCACGATAACTCTAGCAAAAATGATCCGATTTTGATAAAATTTGGTATAAACTTGTAAACCTACATTTATTCGAACGAGTTCGCGAACCAGCATGATCGGACTATGGGAACTGGGGTTTACGGGGGGTTTTAAGGGATAAAAATAGGTTTTTCCCATTTTTGACCCAAAAAACATAAAATTTAGCAATTTTTTTCCAAACCATTTTGTAGAGCTTAAAAAAACAATAATTTAGTATATTGAAGCGTTATTATGCGCCTAATGGTTACGGAGAAAATTAAAAAAAAATGTAAATTAAAAATTCCCATGTTATTCTTATGGAGAACAAGCAAACTGTTGTAGTTTGCTTAGTTTGCTTGTTTATGAACATATTTTGATCAAATTTGGAAAATGTTTTTATTTCTTAACAACTATTAACATTTTACAAAAAAAAAGTTTTACCCTCCCTGATGCAGAAACCTAAGTACTTGTTAAACTAATTCTTTTAAAATAGGAAATACATGTTATATTTACAAGAGACATTTTAGTATAAATCCAGTCAGGCAAATGGGAATTCGCTTAGTCTGCAGGTTTGCTGCGGCGGGGGTATTTAATGAGATATTTTAGTGAAAATCGATTCAGTGAGGCACATGGAAATTTGCTTACTCTGCTGGATCTGGGGTATTTCTAAGAACTATTGTCTTGTAATTTTCTCCATAAAGGCTTTTTGAATCTTTAGCAGGAAGTGAATTCATAGAAAACGAACAGAACTTTGTAAATACAAATTTATTAGCATATAATAAAAAAACTTTAAAAGTCCAATGTGTAAATATTGACTTATTTTAATGACAACTTATAAAAAAATAAAATACACAAATTATTCATGGGATTAAAAAATATTTTGAAAATGCTCGGTTTAGCAGGGCTTTAACTTGATAATCATTAATTACCTGCCAAAAAATATTGTAATTTCAACATCATATGATGAGGGAGAGGGATTGTCCCTGAACTGGTTATAGCATAGACAAAAAGAAATAAATAAAGACTGTCAGCTGTGCTGTGTGTCACTCATTATTAAGATAAAATATTGTTTTTAATAAAAAAATACTTTATTCATAAACATTAGTAAAATTAAGATTACTTAAGAGAACAGCTGATGTAGGGAATGTTACATTATAATCCATGAGTTGACAGATGAGTGTTCGGTTGGGTTTTCCTAGCAAAAGTCTTCTCACAGACGACACTCTTGTGATTCTTGATGATTCCCCCCAAAAAAGGGGGGATTTAAAAATTGTAATGCTAAATAATTAGTTTGAATTCTTCCCCTTTAATTACGTATTACAGTATTAAATTTCTTTATTTATTCATAATTTTGAAAAATCTACCAAAAGTTAGGGGGTCCATTTAAAACCAAAAAAACTCCAGACTTTTCAAGCACTGAAAGACATAAAGTTAATATGAACTAGAGGCCGTCCAGTGGTCAAAAACTCTACCAAAAATATGTAATGTACAGACTTATCTATTTTCACCCAACGCTGATTAAAAATAAAACATGTGATTGGAATTTCTTTAATTTTTTTGATTTTCTGTTTATATTTTGCTGTTATTTTGCCACCCATAAGGCCCATGCTATTTTTTTCAAATTTAAAGTTCATTTTTTGTGCTTATTTTTGAGCCTATTTTAATATATAATGGGATTCTGCATATCTACAGGAAAATATCTCTCTAACGGTATGCATTGATTTTCCAAGCTGAGAAAAAGGTTGTAAAGAATCATGCTTGCTATTAATATATACTATAGTAGTTGTCCAGTGGTTGAAAACTCGACCAAAAATATGTAATGTACACGCATTGACTATTGGATATTGAAGTAGACATTCCATCTGCCATTTTTAAATAAAAAAAAACCTGTAGTTGTGTAAGCTAATCACAGTATGCGTGTCAAAAATGATATTTTCTATCTTATTTTTTTATACTGACAAAGATGATGGGTCATAACAGTTGCATTAGCTCTGAATAGGCCTAAGCCATTCCATAGGTTCGACTTCGTAAAAATCACCGTATATTCAAGAAAAAAATTATTGATTTAGATCAGAGCAATCTGGCGGCCCACATCAACTACGACAAATTTAATAAAAAACTGGCAAAAACTTTAAAATGGGGATGGAAATTGCAAATCGTTCTACCAAATTCATTGTAGTAGTCTTTACACTTGTGTGCAACAAAAGGACTAATTACAAACTCTAACCTAAAACTCAGAATCGTTAGAGTCCAAGAATTTTCTGTACGTTATGAAAAGTAGGAAACAAGGTCAGTCGACGGATGCTTTCACCCCTTCAAGCAGTAGCAGTGACGGTAACGGGCAACGTTAGTTGGGTAGTGTACTTTGTGTAGGTTAACTGTTGCTTACTGGGTAGGTAAAATGGATGGTTTATGTGTATTCCTATAATAGTTTTAGCATATCTGGAAAATTTCACACTTAATATGCATACAAACTGCTGTTCTGAATAAATAAAGATTTTAATAGACTACAAGATCCCCGTATGTAGAACGGGCACACAGATAGTGATTATTATTGCAGAAATTAATAGACAGCTGGGTTTTCAACCTTAGTCAATATATGCAGTTACAGTAAACATGGTTCATTCAACATAGCCACTAACACTGTGCTCTTGTTGTGGAAACCTTTTAAAAGAATTGTGCTTCTGTTGATAAATCTTCTTCATTCAAGAAAATTAAGTAAAGGTTCACATTTAATAACTCTGTGATCTAACTCACACCTTGTGTTAGTGTTAAGATAATACTTTATTTTGATTATTAATTTTAACAACCTTGAATGAATTGGTTACAATAAGTTGGCAAGATGAATGTAACCTAATTAATACTGAATATTTATATGATATTAATGTAAAACACAAACTCTTTCAAAGTGAAACACAACATTGTACAATGTAGCTGAATAAATGTGACAGAAATAAGTTGATCAAAAAGGAAATAAGTAGAATGTAAGAATTAGTTCTGTCTGATGTTTACTAGGTTCTCGTTCATTGAATATTTCAAGTAAAGATGTGTTGCCTCCTCAGTTACTGTTCAGCAGTTCAGCCGACTTTGACAAAGAGGTAAGGGTTGATCCTGGTAAACCATCTTGCCATAAAACCCACCTTAAATGATGAAAATCAAGAAATGAAAAAAGCAGGCAACTAATATCAGTTGCAAACTTAATACTTTGAAATTATAAAATGAAAAAAATTATGATGTCATTCATATTTAGGAAAATCTAGTTTTAAATAAAACATTAATTTATTCATAAACAATAGTAAAATTAAGATTATCTAAGAAAACTGTTGATGTAAGGGATGTTGCATTACAATCAATGAGTTGACAGATGAGTGTTCAGTTGGGTTTTGCTAGCAAAAGTCTTCTCACAGACAACACACTTGTGATTCCTGGCGATTCCATGAACAGCCATGTGTTGTTTGACATGTGTTCTTAGTTTGAATGTCTTTCCACAAATGTTGCACTCATGAGGTCTGCTATCTGCATGTGTATGCTCATGCTGCTGTAAATTATTTTCCCTTTTAAATGCTTTGCCGCAAGTGTTACAAATGTACGGTTTATCATCAGAATGTGTCAAGGAATGGAATCTTAATGTTTGTTTTGTTTTGAGCATTTTACCACATATTTCGCAGCTGTGAACTGTACCTAAGTGATCATTTCTAAGATGTTCCAACAAAGTATCTTTAACAGTAAACATTCTACCACAATTTGCACATTTATATTTCTCCTGAGGCAAATGGTGTTTTTTGATGTGCTTCGCTAAACTCTCTTTACACACAAAATCACTGTTACATTCTGCACATTGGTATTCCTTTGTATCCACATGCATTAGAGAAGTATGTCGTGTTAGATTCATTTTCCGAGCAAATGACCTATTACAAAGTTTACATGTAAAAGAGAGATTTTTCTTCAATTGATAATGTTTCACGAATATGCCTGTTGAGCACCGAAGTCTGAGTAAAACCTTTGTTACATATTTTACAAATCTCTTTTTTTAAACATCCCAAATGTATGCGTGATATATGAGACTTCAATGCAGAGTAACTGCAAAATGATTTGGCAGAAGTTGTACACTGGTACTTATTGATATTAGTATGTGTAGTTTGATGATGTCTTCTCAAATGCCTTTTATCTATGTATCTGCGGTCACAGAGAGCACATTTAAAATATTCTTTTAGGGAACCTCTATTATCTTTTACACTATTTGGCATGACAAACGTTCCAAAGTCACTTTTACACTGAACACACTCACACAGAACACCATTCAACTGAGCTGTGCACTTTCCTTCTTTAATTTGAATCTGAAACATACAACACTGACCTTCAGACTGATAAGCTAAGAGTTTAGAGTATCCTTTGTACAATTTTAGTTAATATTAAGTTTTAATGTGTTTTCAGTGAGGATAATAACAAAGTTATAATTACAAAGGTTGAACATAGAATACTAAAGGGAATGAAATGAAATGAAATGAAATATTACTTTATTATCACAAAAACATTTCACAGATCCAGCGTTAGCTAGTGAAACAGGTGATATTGTCACAGATCTTAAACACTAAGTTACATAACAAAACTAAAATCCACATACAGTAGAACCTCTTTAATCCGAACTAATTGGGACCGGGGGTAGTTCGGACTATTGAATAGTTCGGATTACAGAACATATTGTTGTTTTTACATAACAATAGCTAGGTAAAAGTGTAAAATGCTTTATAAAGTAAAATACAGTGTTTATTTAATACAGTAGTAAACATAGGGAATAAAAAGTACTGTACATTAGAATTAAAATAATTACGGTGCGTATATCAATAAATACAGTTTACAATAAAGAGCTACTGTACAGTGTATAGAGTACAGCAATGAGGCGTTCGGATTAGTGGACGTTCGGATTCCAGGGGTTCGGATTAAAGAGGTTCTACTGTAGCTTAAACTGAAATATATTTACTTATCATTTAAATAATCGGAAATCTTAAAATAATTTTTTTGTACAAGGTATTGTTTGAAATCATTTTTAAATTTTGAAATACTGTTAATTTCTTTGAAATTTGAGGGTAGACTGTTGTAAAGCCTTAATCCAATATAATAAGGAGCTCTTTCATATAAACAAAGGCTATGTCTTGGACATTAAAAAATTAGCTGATGCTTGATGGGAAATCTGTGCGTGCTTCAATTTAATACCTCAATCATGAAAATCGGTCGGGTAGAAGAGCCAAACGATCTCGGAAAAGAAAAACCAAATTTAACTCCTATAAGAAATATACTAATTCACAAACCAATTCATCGCTAATATATGGGTTAATAAAAATATTACATAAGGTTTCCCCAAGTAAGCCTAGAACAAGCCTTCAAACACAACTTCAACTGTTAATTTAGTTGGATGGGCTCAAAGCGAACATGTTTGTTATATTATTTAAAATGGAACTTTCAATTAACCTCCAAACAGGATGTTGAGACTATTAGTATGCGATTCAGGTTAGTGTCGTCATTTGATTATATTATTTATGATCTATACCGTTTCTGTTCTAATATCCGTGTAGTAATGCTATCAGCTATTTCTTGATCTACGTCATTCAAAATCTACCAGCTGATCTTATGCCTTTGTTTATGTGTCAAATACTGCTTCCATAAGGATTACATTGAAACTTTGAGGGCCCGTGGGGCGGATTCCTAAGAGATTTTTTTAACGTCATATAGATGTTGGCACTCACCGATAGGGTCTTTAACACCATGCAAAATTTGAAAACTATTGCTTTAGGCGTCTAGGAGGAGTTTGCGTATTACGAGATGCATAAGAGTTGACGTACAATGAGGGGTAAATCTAATATTTTAAAGGAGATATTTGAGTGAAAATCGATTCAGTGAGGCACATGGTAATTTGATTTGTCTTCTGGTTTGCTGGAGCTGGGGTATTATAACTATTGTTTTGTAATTTTCTCCGTGAAAACTTTTTGATTCTTTAGCAGGAAGTGAATTCATAGAAAACGAACAGAACTTGGTAAAATTCAAATTTATAACACAAAATAAAAAAAAAAAACTTTAAAAACCCAATGTGTATATTGACTTAATTTAAATGAGAACTCATAAACACCTAAAATACATAAATTATTGATCAGGTCAAACAAATATTTTAAAAAAGCTCAGCTCAGCTGTGGTTTCTGTCTGCTGATTGTGCATTTCAAGTAAAGATGTGTTTGCCTCCACTGTAATTGTTAAGCCATCACAGTGGAACGACTTTAACAAAAAAGTAAGGGTAGATCTGCGTAAACCCAAATCTTGCAATAAAAGTAACCATCAAAAAAATAATTATCAAAAATTCGCAAAATATCGCAAATTTTTCATGAAATTAAAAACATAAACATAACTATAACAATCGTACTTTGACAGTTAGTTCTCATTGCTTATCACATTTTTTTTGCCACTTCAAATAATCTGTTTTCATAAATGCAAACAAATATAGTGCTGCACCCTGTTGGTAAACCTTATAACTTTTTAATGCTTTTCCCTATCATAGAACCAACTTTTTTTGTTGAAACAGCTGACTAAATTCTTTAATCCACTTTAAATATAAATACTCATCAGGTTAACATGGGGAACTACAGAGCCACTGGGGCGGATCCCGAAAAAGGTTTTGAGATAAGAATATGCCTATATGTTCATTGGGAATGTGAGCTATCATCATGCCAAATTTCAACCCAATCCGTCCAGTAGTTAATGCGTGATTGAACTTCAAACAAACAAACAAACAAACACACAAACATTCACATTTATAATATTAGTAAGATTCATAAACACAAAAAAATATATTATTTTAGAAAAAAGCTATGGAAGTGGATGTTACATTACAATCCATGAGTTGACATATGAGTGTTCAGTTGAGTTTTCCTGGCAAAAGTCTTCTCACAGACAACACACTTGTGATTCCTGGTGATTCCATGGACAGCCATGTGTTGTTTGACATGGGTTCTTAGTTTGAATGTCTTTCCACAAATGTTGCACTCATGAGGTCTGTTATCTCTGTGTGTATACTCATGCTGCTGTAAATTACCCTCTCTTTTAAATGCTTTGCCACAAGTATGACAAATGTACGGTTTATCATCAGAATGTGTCAAGAAATGTAATATTAATGTTTGTTTTGTTTTGAACATTTTCCCACATATTTCACAGCTGTGAACCGTACATAAGTGATCGTTTTTTAAATGTTCCAACAAAGTATCTTTAACAGTAAAGATTCTACCACAATTTGCACATTTATATTTCTCCTGAGGCAAATGGTGTTTTTTTATGTGCCGCACTAAACTCTCTTTACACACAAAATCACTGTTACATTCTGCACATTGGTATTCCTTTGTATCCACATGTACCTGATAAGTATGTCGTGTAAGATTTTTTTTCTCAGCAAATGACTTATTACAAAGTTTACATGTAAAAGAGAGATTTTTGTTCAATTGATAATGCACATTACGAATATGGTTCTTGAGCGAACTTTTTGAAACCAAACCTTTGTTACATATCTTACAAATCTCTTTTTTTAAACATCCCAAATGTATGTGAGAAATATGAGACTGCAATGCAGTGTAATTGCAAAATGATTTGGCACAAGTTGTACACTGGTACTTATTGGTATTAGCATGTGTAGTTCGATGATGTTTTCTCAAATGCCTTTTGTCTATGTACCTGCGGTCACAGAGAGCACATTTAAAATATTCTTTTAGGGAACCCCCATTATCTTTTACAGTATTTGGCATGACAAACGTTCCAAAGTCACTTTTACACTGAATACACTCACAAAGAACACCATTCAACTGAGCTGTGCAGTTTCCTTCCTTAATTTGAATCTGAAGCACACAAAACTGATCTTCAGACTGATAATCTTACCGTTTTTACCTTCCTTTGTACAATTTTAGTAAATATTTTGTGTTAATTTGTTTTCTTTTCAGTCAAGATAATTATTTAATTATGAAGGTTGTAGAATACTACAGTGTGAGGCGATGAGAGAATGAATTTTCTTTTACTGTTAAACTAGCTGTTACCAACGGGCTTCACCCCGTTTGACTTCATAAGTATTAATTAAACTTTTGATTGGTTTTTATTTTTTTCAATGCCAGTGGCATTTTACTAGAGAGTCACGAGAGAAATGTTTAGTGGATGTGCCGGGTCAGGTGTTTAATAATCACACCTGATTTTAAGAAGGTAATAAATTGAAAGAATAACATAAAAATAAGTACAGCTGATTTATTTTTAACATGAGGTGTATGGAAAGTTCCCTTTTTGGAAAGCAATAACGACCTTATAGGGCAATTAATGAAATAATGGATAGTTTTGCGCAAGGTTTCTCGTCGTGACAAACGATTTAAGTATATGGTTTATAGGCTTATGGTTTTATAGGTTTATGGTTTATGACTTGTAGTTTTCTCAAAAGTTTATGGGTACTTTGGGCTTTATATAAGTACTGTTGTGGTTAAATACAACGGTCTCTAATAAAAATAATGGTTATGAAATCCATTCACCACTCTACTCACTAATATTAATGGTACAGATTAAGCACATAACATTAGAATCACACACTTAACATAAGGAACACACTTTAAACACAAATGCAAATTGTTAACAATAACATTAAAGAAAAATCAATTAAATAACAATATAACAATAAGCTGTTAAATTATTTACACATGTTTCGTATGGTTAGATTATGCATGCTGGTATTGCATAATCTGGTATTGCATGCAGTAATTTGCCGTCTACAAAAATTATTGGTTTTTCTTTTTGAGTCGGGTAATCTCTCCTACCCGACCGATTTCCATAATTTTGGCCTTAAACTAAAGGTATGGACGTACCACAGATTTGCCATCAAGCATCAGCATTCATTTTGACGTAGTTTTCAAGTTATGCACAAAACGCGTCCCAGTGCATTTCTTATGGGAGTTAAATTTGGTTTTTTCGAGTTTGTTTGGCTCTTCTACCCACCATATTTTCATAATTTTGGTCTTAAAATAAAGCTATGCAAACATATATTTGTCATCAAGCATCGTCATTAATTTATCTCATGTATTACGTGACAAAAAAATATAAATTTTTTTTTATTTTTTACTTTAATTAAAGATGTATTACAGCAGTTTGTTCTAATTACATTACCCTATATGTTTTGGTCTAAAAATCTGTAGTGAAATGACAGCTTTCATTTGAGTTATTGATTATTAATATTCTGATTTTAATAATCCTACCCAAAGCACTCTGCTGAGTGCTGAATCACAAAATCAACAATAATTATAATCGTTTTAGTACTTATCTGCAACCAATGATACAAAACTCTATTTTTATTTAAGTTATTTTGTATACCTTAGTCTTAAAATACTTCAAAGGCTTTCACTTGAGATATTGATAGTTGTAATCAGTTATGTTAAAGATATTGTATCGCTCATCCAGAATATATAAATTTGATTATATCTTGGATATAGAATTTAGTTTTAGATATACTTACTCAATTATTATTACATTGATCTATTTGTTTTGACCTAAGAACCTTCAGTGAAATACCAGCTTCCATTTGAATGATTGATTATTAAGATCGGACGTACCTAAAGCACACTGCTAAATCACGAACAACCCAAATTGTTCAAAAAATGGAGTTATTTATCATCGATTTATAGTCAAACGATCTTGCTTGCAACCACAAAAGAAACTGTCGACTTTCACGGGTTTCACCTAGTTAATCTTTAAAAAAATCAAACTTTCATAATTATTTGAAAATCTACACAAAATAGGCTTTCCAATGACCTATTAATTAATAAAGAAAGTTCAATAGAACTGTAGATTTAATTTTACAAATTTTAACAACAACATCTTTAATTCAGTATTTACTCACCACTATAAATTGGGAGGTTGCTTAACGTTTTTGAAAATAACTTTGAAATGGTGAGGAAATCAACCAATGTGATATTCTGATAGAGAGTAAAATTTCCTACAAATTACTACAGTAGAACCTTGATAAGAAGACTCTCAAGGAGATTATTAAATGAGACTTGTTATCAAGGTTGACTCCTTATTGAGGTTTGCAATAACATGTGATTTGGGGTAAAATAAATTCAAGGGGATTTTAAAAAATGACACTTGTTATCAAGGGTGACTTGTTATCGAGGGTCTTCTTATCGAGGTTCCACTGTATTATGTATTCCTTGAAATGATCATGTACTCAATAAAGGCAGCCCAAAGTTGCCTACAAATATAAGCTTGGAAATATATACTTGGTAAAAAGCGTTTTAAATGAATTATTGATTATTTTAATTTTGTTCACCTCAAATATGTAATAAAATCAAACTTTCATAATTATTTGCAAATCTATACGAATTAAGCTTTCTAACGACCCATTAAGTAACAAAATCAGTCTGATAGAAGTCTAAATTTAGTTGTACAAAGTTTAACAAAAATATAGGTATCTAATTTAGTATTTTCTCACTATTATAAATTTGGAGATCACTTAGCTTATTGCGAATAACTTTTAAATGGAGGGGAAATCGACCAAAGTGGATGTGATATTCTGAAAGAGAATAAAATATACTGCAAATAACTACTATGCATTTCTTGAAAATACTTAATAAAGGCAGCCAAAAGCTGGCTACAAATAGAAACCTGAAAACAGAAACTTAAAAAAAGCAGTTTTTAACGTATTATTGTTATTTTTACTTTTTGCCACAAATATTTAATAAAATCACACTTTCATAATTATTTGAAAATCTACATAAATAAGGCTTTCCAATGGCCCATTAATTAACAAAATCGGTCCGGTAGAAGTCTAGATTTAGTTGTTCAAAGTATAACCAAAATATCCCGAACTCAGTATTTTCTCATTACTACAAATTCAGAGGTTGCTTAGCTTTTTTGCAAATCTATACTTATTTAATACGCAAGCATGTTTTTTGTGACAATTACTCCTCCTAAACTGCTGAACCGATTGACATGTTTTTGGTGTCATTGGAAAGAGCGTAACGTGAAGTTGTGCAGGAAACTTTCTTTTTAGAGAAATAATTAAAGGGTAAGGCCCTGGAGCCCTTTAAAGTTTCGTATTTCTCCATAAGATTAACATGGGGAACAAATATTGTTATGCAACTCCAGCTGTTGTCAGAAATTAAAAGTGAGAAGAAGAACATATGTTAATTTTAAACAGTCAATAAGTTTGCTAATTTTACAGTTTGCTACAAACAATGAAATATTTACTATTTGAATTCGGGTTGGCGTAAATACTATTACATAGTATTACAATGGAAAAAAGCGAGAGAGTCTGGATAAATTGATATATTCTGTTATGTACATCTTGAATATTTCCATAATCTTTGGGTCGAATCTTTATAAAGTCATCAGAAATTATGAACGTTATTACTTTTATCCTTTTAAAATAACGCCTCTAATACTTAGAAATTGCTCGAATTCGAGCAACAGGGACACTAGTAACTTTTAAATGGTGAGATAATCAACCAAAGTGGAGGATGATATTCTGATAGTGAATAAATTCCTGCAAATTGATACTATGCACTTCTTGGTAAATACTCAAAAAATGCAGCCAAAAGTCGCACCCAAATAAAAAGTGTGAAAAACACCGTTTTCAATGCATTTCTCATGGAAAAAATGTTTTTTTTTATTTTACACCATAAATCATAACAAAAACAAACTTTCATAATTATTTGCAAATCTACACGAATTGAGCTATCCAACAACCCATTAATAAATAAAATCGGTCAAGTAAAACTCTAGATTTAGTTGTACAAAGATTTTTAAAAACTGAATTATATAAAGTAGATGAGAAATATTGCAACAATTATTTGACAGCTGTGTTTTAACCCCGATTAAAATACCATAAAATCTATATAATTAATACGCTACATGAAACTTTGTCGGTTGAACTCCTACGCCATTTCTTAACCGATTTTAACCGTTGATGTCTCATTGGAAAGAGCGTGTCGCGTAGATTTGCAAACTGACCTTACATTTTTGAAAGCGTCCCTTGGGCTCTGCCACAGTGGCTTTGAAATGTCCCATGTTATCGAGAGAGTCACTAATTAAAAATAGACTCACTGGATTTTTAGATAACAATAATTTTTTTTCACCAAATCAGTTTGGATTTAGAGAAGGCCTTAGTACAGAGTTAGCACTTCAACACTTTTTGACAAATATTTACGGAAACTTAAATAGCACAACTCATAATAAAACAGCTGGTTTGTTCTTAGATATTAGTAAGGCATTTGATACTATCGATCATGTTTTGCTCTTGAACAAACTAGAATCAGCAGGGATAAGAGGTGTACCACTTTCATGGTTTGGGTCATATCTTTCTGGGAGGAGGCAGCTGGTTAAAATTAAGAAGAGCAAAAGTAGTATCCAAAGTATTAACTTCGGTGTTCCCCAAGGATCAGTCCTTGGTCCTATTTTATTTTTAATTTTTGTCAACGACTTGTGCAGTGGTCTTTTGAATGGACGCCTAACAGCGTTTGCTGATGATACAGCATTGTCATACTGTGCAAGCACTTTGGATGAGCTTCATCACATAATGCAGGATGATCTACATAAAATATCACTTTGGTTCAGTTGCAACAAACTTTGTCTAAATGTTTCTAAAACAATCTTTATCAATTTTTCTTTATCCCAGTCAAATGTTTTTAATGCACCTTTAATTTTACATAAAACAGATTGTAATAAAACTAGTTGCTTATGTGATTCTATAAAACAATGTAATGTTACCAAATATCTAGGTGTACTTTTGGATGAAAATCTATCATGGAAGATGCATGTAAATAATTTAAAGAATTCATTACGTTACTCACTTAGATCTTTTTTCCACCTCAAATATTGCTGTCCTCTTCCCATCTTAAAACAGGTTTACCACTCTTTAATCAATTCTAAGCTTGAATATGGAATTTCTTTGTATGGAGGTGCCTATGTGTCGAATTTAAAATCTTTAATTACTTTACAGAAGAAATTTGTCAGATTAATATGTAATGTAAATTTTTATTCTCATTCTCTACCTTTATTTGTAAGTCATAATATCCTTCCCTTCAGATATTTATATATTTTTAAAGTATTGACTATATTTTTCAAATTAAGTGGTAATGCAGGACCAACAGTTGATAACATTCACAATTATTCAACTAGACAAACTGCACATAACATTCTACGTTTACCCAAACCAAACTGTACCTTGTTTAAGAAGTGTTTTATTTATTTATCAATTAAAATTTTTAATGTCATTCCTATTTCTGTAAAGCAGAGTAGGTCATTTAGTGTTTTTAAGAAATCTTTGAAAAAGTGGCTATTAACCAAGTCATACGATGAAATAGAACAGTTGTATTCTTAATAATATTAGTAAGTAATGTCTAGCTCAATGTATTTGCTTTATCTTTGTAAGTATCTGTATTTCAGAGTCTGGGTTTTCATTGTTTCCTTCAATTTCTTAAAATGTTCTCATTATTATAGTTACATACTTTTCGTTTTACTTCCTAAATATTGGTGAATTTTGTTTTCTTTGTTGTCTTTTCCACAAAAGTTATTGGACTAAAGGTAAATTTAATTTATAATTCATTTTGTTACCCTTTTCGGAGAATTTTTTGTTATTGTTAAGTATTAGTTGAGACTCCCGCCCACACACAGAAGTTTTAATCTTCTTTGGGTGTGTATATTTCTTCGCAAGTTAAAGCAAACTGTTTTTATTTAATTAATTAACAATAAGTTTTTATTACATTGTAAAATAATTTGTTTTTATAGATCTTTGTAATTTTATTGTATTACTTGTGGAGAAATAAAGATTTATTATTATTATTATTATTATTATCCTTATGGAGAACATAATTGTTTACATTTTGATCAGCTGTATAATTTAATTGCTGTTATTTATTTTTTCAATTCAATGAAACGCATTGAGTACATTTATTTACTATTTGAGTTTGTGTAAACATAACCCCAAGACGGATCGTGTAGTATGGTTGTATCTTAAATTTGTGTATTTATCGATGTTTTGTGTCGCTATGACGGATCGTGTTAGCATGATTGTAACTTAAAATTGTGCGTTTATCATTGTTTTGTGTAGCTATAATTTGTTTATTTGTTGTTTATTCTTTTAAATGCCTCCGATGCGACGACAACGAAACATAGACAGGAGGCGTAATCGTAATAACGACCTCAGCTACAGAACAGTGGCGCGTAATAGGTTTAACTCATCCACAGTCAGCACCTGACCCTGGACAATCTCAACTATTAGGTTATAAATGCGCCCTAACACTACCCCAAAACGACTTTTTGTTCTCAATTGGCCCTCTATCAATGACCTGTGTTGCATGTATAGCGAGGCATTTACAGAAGGAGAAAACCGGCTGGAATTCTTTAGGTTTATCAATAACGAAGATAAACATAGTCTGAGTTACACACCGGTAATCTTTGAGTTGGCTCTTTTAAACTCATTGTAAATATGACCGTTATTCGTTTTGAAATAACTCCTGTAATACTTTGCAATTGCTCGAATTCGAGCAACATGTACACTAGTTATTATTAACACAGTGAGAGTATTCTTATGAGTATTCATATTTAAAGGAATTCAAGAATTTTGTCAGCTGTTTCAACTGCACAAGTTGGCTTGACGATATTAAATAGCATTAAAAGGTTAGACTTACCAACAGGGTGCAGCACTACTATTTTTTTTTTCATTTATGACAACAGCTAATCTGAACCAACTAACAACAAAAAAATTGTGGTACACAATGAGAACTTTACTTTTTTCTATGGTTTAGTTGCAGTGGTAAAACATTAGGGATATGGTACTTTTTTATACTTTTTAATGAAATGGCGACCATACAAAGTAGGTATTTTAAGCCAAGTATGAATGGGGATGAGTGTAGGATGAGTGGCGCGATCTTGTAGTCTTGTTAGTGACTAAGGCCGACTTATTACTTAGACACAGCTGTTAACTAATAGCCCATACAGCTAATGGTAACTAAGAGACCTACAGCTTATAGTGGAATCCGAACCACATTTTAGCCTTGGTATATACAAATTGGTATAGTTTTCAGGATAGTACAGCGGATAGTCGTATTACTCACTCGTGCGGATGTTAATCCACACCAGGGAGTATCGCATCCACAGTGTATGCCTATGGTAGATGTGTGCTAGACTATAGGATACCCTATAAATTAAAAGACAACAAATTTTCCTAAACCGTGTCCTTTTCCATAACTCTAATAAGCATTTTATACTTATATGCCAACCCCATACGAAGGACGGGTACACTGCAAGTATTTAATAAATATGTGATAACTCACACCTTGTTAGTTTTAGGATGAATCTTTATTTTGATTACTCATTTTTACACCCTTAAATTATTATTATACCTTGGAATTACGCGAGAATTCAAAAAATTATGTCACTCATTATTAAGAAAAAAAGTATTGTTTTAAATCAAAAATAGCTTTATTCATAAACACTAGTAAAATTAAGATTATTTAAGAGAACAGCTTCAGTCAGGGATGTTACATTATAATCAATGAGTTGAAATATGAGTGTTCAGTTGGGTTTTTCTAGCAAAAGTCTTCTCACAGACAACACACTTGTGATTCCTGGTGATTCCATGGACAGCCATGTGTTGTTTGACATGGGTTCTTAGTTTGAACGTCTTTCCACAAATGCTGCACTCATGAGGTCTGTTATCTGCATGAGTATGCTCATGCTGCTGTAAATTATTTTCCCTTTTAAATGCTTTGCCACAGGTGTGACAAATGTACGGTTTATCATCAGAATGTGTCAAGAAATGTAATATTAATGTTTTTTTTGTTTTGAACATTTTCCCACATATTTCACAGCTGTGAACCGTACCTAAGTGATCGTTTCTAAGATGTTCCAACAAAGTATCTTTAACAGTAAAGATTCTACCACAATTTGCACATTTATATTTCTCCTGAGGCAAATGGTGTTTTTTTATGTGCCGCACTAAACTCTCTTTACACACAAAATCACTGTTACATTCTGCACATTGGTATTCCTTTGTATCCACATGTACCTGATAAGTATGTCGTGTAAGATTTTTTTTCTCAGCAAATGACTTATTACAAAGTTTACATGTAAAAGAGAGATTTTTGTTCAATTGATAATGCACATTACGAATATGGTTCTTGAGCGAACCTTTTGAAACCAAACCTTTGTTACATATCTTACAAATCTCTTTTTTTGAACATCCCAAATGTATGTGTGAAATATGAGACTTCAATGCAGTGTAATTGCAAAATGATTTGGCACAAGTTGTACACTGGTACTTATTGGTATTAGCATGTGTAGTTCGATGATGTTTTCTCAAATGCCTTTTGTCTATGTATCTGCGGTCACAGAGAGCACATTTAAAATATTCTTTTAGGGAACCTCCATTATCTTTTACAGTATTTGGCATGACAAACGTTCCAAAGTCACTTTTACACTGAATACACTCACAAAGAACACCATTCAACTGAGCTGTGCACTTTCCTTCTTTAATTTGAATCTGAAACATACAAAACTGACCTTCAGACTGATAACCTAAGAGTTCAGAGTATCCTTTGTACAATTTTAGTTAATATTTAGTTTTAACATGTTTTCCGTCAGGAAAATTATAATTACAAAGGATGAACATAGAATACTACAGGGTGAGGCAATGAGAGAACCCCAATTTTTGTTTTGCATTATCATTTTTGAATAAGAAATATTGGGACAATAAAAATGGACTGTGTTTTAACCCCTATTAAATATGCCATAAAACTATTATAAATACAGTGCTATTCCAAGTCTTAAGGCAGCCCTTGTGTGTTCAGTTACAGCTGACAATTTTCTGATATTGTTTAACACAAAAGTTGAAACACATTAACTGTGAATTTAAGTTCGATACAACAAACTGAAAACTGTAGGTTATCAGAAAGGTTTGAAACAATATTAAAATATTACAGTTAATTATCCACGAATGACCTTTGAAATTTTCTGTGGGAAATTTTCTGTTTGCTTGTTCATCACAATTTTTTTATTCAATGTTGTCTAATATTTGTATTGCTACAAGTATTCTTTTTTATATTCGCAGTAGCAGTAATAACCAAGTGCTCATCCATATATAAAGCTAGGATGGATTTGAACTTTTGAGAAAACCATAAGACGCACACCTATCAATCGCATACTAAAATGAAAAGTCTTGCTGTGAAACTTCCCTGAAAAATATCAGGTTTTCAATAAGCCCTTTCCTAAGGGCAGGACCATCAATTAAAGGACTGTATATAATTAGATGTAAAACGTTGAATATACACCAGCTGTCGATTTGTTTGTTAATTTTCCTTGAGTTAACCTTTTGATTTTAGGCTTTTAGGTACCATAGATTTCTATATTGCATCAAGAGTAGATTATAATTTCTAGTGACTTGGACAATGATAAAATTTACTTTCATAAAGTAAATGTTTCATAAGTAAGTGCTTTATCAACCAGCAGTCAGGCCCGTTTTTGACCCTGTCAGCGCCCTAGGCACATCTAATAGTAGCGCCCCTTTGCAATATATATATAACAGGGTGTCCACCGACCGGGAAATCCGGGGATCGTGCGGGAGATTTTTGAACCGTGAATTTTGTATTTCTACCTGGAATTTTCAATTTACCGTGATCACGCATGACAAAAGTGACGTTTCCGTGATCGCGGGAGACGACAACATGTCTACACACGGCCGCGAGGGATGATCAGAATTTTCCGCGATCGCAGAAGACGATGATGCAACGGAGCCGCAACGGATAATCAGAGTATTGCCGCGATCACGGAAGACGATGTTAATGTCCACACGACCGCGGGAAACAGCATGAATTCTGCCGAGATCGTAGAATGATGATCTCCACACAACTGGAGGACATTATTAACATTTTACCTCAATCGCGGGAGACGATTACGATGTCTTCACAACTGCGGGAAACGATTACGATGTCTACAGAACCGCGGAATACAACAATGATTTCTACACGGCCACGAGGGATGATCACAATAATCGCTCAAGACGATGATAATGTCCACATGACCGCGGGAAAAGATCAGAATTTTGCCTCATTCGCCAAAGACGATTATCTCCATATGTCCGCGGGAGATGATTACCATTTTGCCGCAATCGCGGGAGGCGATCACTACATGTCCAAACGACCAACGGGACTATTTATAATGATGTCTCCGAGGCCGCGAGGGGTGACAATCGCGCAAGACGATGATTATGGCCACACGATCGCGGGAAAAGGTCAAAATGTTGCCTAATTTGCGTAAGAGGATGATGAATTCCTCAAGACTGAGGGAGATGATTACCGTTTTTCCACAATCACGGGAGGTGATTACTATGTCCACACGACCGTGGGGGACGATATGATGTCTTCACGACCGCGAGGAGTGGTCAGAATTTGACTGCGATCGCGCAAGACGAGGATAATGTCCCCACGACCGGGGGAAAATATCAGAATTTTGCCTCATTTGCGTTAGACGATGATAATCTCCTCACGACCGGGGGATATGTTCATATATTGCCCCGATCATGGAAGACGATAATTTTATGTCCAAACGACCTGACTGCAGAAAATAGTAAGAATCTTGCCACAAACGTGGGAGACGATTACGATGCCTACACGGCCGCGAGGGGTTATCAGAATTTTACCACGATAGAATGCAAATACTACCACGATTTTTTTTCAATTTCCAAATTTTTGGCGCCCCCAAAAAAAGCCAATTGTCTCGCGCCCTAGGCACGTGTCTACCGTGCCTATTCGGTAAATCGGCCCTGCCAGCAGTTTGCATAGACAAGGCAGGGGCAGAACAACTAGTTAAAACTGATGGTGATTAAATGAGGAGTAAATCTAATATTTTTGCGAATTTCCCATATAGGGAATAAGCTATTACCGTAGTACGCATGTTAAGACCTGGACGCGGGACCGATTTTTTTTTCGTTTTGAGGTCCCTAGAGGCCAATATATATATCTATATATATAATTCTGTAAGACAAAATTTTTACCAGAAAATATTGGACGTCTGGTTAGTCGCAGAAAAGTGGGAGGGGTCTTAAATTAAAGGTCTTGACCCCAGGGACTCGGGAAAAATAGCACAATTCCCATAAAGTTACCAGAAAACGAAATATAACGTAAAATGTTCTCCATAAGAAATGCATTAGAAGCCATATTTACTGCAGATTTTTGTTTACTTCAATACAGCTGATCGTGATTGATCATTAAGCCAGTATGCAATGGGATGAATTTACTTTACACTAATTTTGTTACCTTAACAAAAGGAGTATACACTTAGGAATATTAACTGGGTAGGGATGCTAATTTAAGACACTTTCCAAAATTCTAATCAGGGAAGCCCTTTTTTATCACCATTAATCACAAAACCAAAGCTACCTTAACAAACCAGTATTTATTCACAAACAATTATATATTTGCTGCCTTTAGCAGAGTTAAACCTATGGAGTAATTTAAATTATTTATTGGAAATAACCAACAAAAGCAAACAAAGACAAACAACAAACTGTTTTTTACACAAAAGAAATTGTGTAAAGGGATATTACATATTCTGACACATAGATAATATATTTCTGAGTTTGTTTACATATTAAAACAATTTGTTTTATATCACCGAGCTTTTTAGGGACTTTTGTAAACTGTTGTAGTTTGCTTGTTTATGAACATATTTTGATCAAATTTGGAAAATGTTTTTATTTCTTACTTACTAACTATTAACATTTTGAAAAAAAAAACAGTTTTTCCCTCCCTGATGAAGCAAACCTAAGCACTTGTTAAACTAATTCTATTTAAATCGGGAATAAATGTTATATTTTTAAGTATACATTTCAGTGTAAATCCAATCAGTCAAATGGAAATTCGCTTAGTCTGCAGGTTTGCTGCGGCGGGGGTATTTTATTGTAGTCTAAATTAGGGGCTGTGGCCCCTACAGGCCAGTTTATTTATATATACTAGCTGACCCGGCGAACTTCGTATCGCCTAAGTTATAGGTTTCCCCTAAGACAGACCGATGGAAAGAAAGTACCGTTACGTTTAATTTTCAAGATGATCTCGTTCGCATCGCTCAATCACGTCCTGGTTGAAGTTTGTTCGCTACGCTCACTCACCTTTGGTTTGGAGCTCGTTCGCTACGCTCACTCACCTTTAGGTTGGAGCTCGTTCGCTGCGCTCACTTGCCTTCAGGTTAGCTCGTTCGCTACGCTAACTCGCCTCCAGGTTGAAGTTCGTTCGCTACGCTCACTCACCTTTTGGTTGCAAATTAGCTGTTGTCATAAATGTAAAAGAAATAATAGTGCTGCACCCTGTTGGTAATCCTTGTAACTTTAATGCTATTGAACATCATAGAACAGAACCAACTTGTGTAATTGAAACAGCTGTTCAGATTCATTAATTCCATTTCTCATAAGGTTAACATGGGAAACTCCAGAGCCACTGGGGCGGAGCCCTTTTAAGAATTTCGAAACGGGAAATAGTTTACGTCCGATTCGCATACCTACAGAATTTACACACCAAATTTCATAACGATCGGTGAAGTCGTTCCGGAGGAGTTTGCAGACAAACACTGTGACACGAGAATTTTATATATTAGATGTGTCCGTTAGCACGATAACTCTAGCAAAAATGATCCGATTTTGATAAAATTTGGTATAAACTTGTAAACCTACATTTATTCGAACGAGTTCGCGAACCAGCATGATCGGACTATGGGAACTGGGGTTTACGGGGGGTTTTAAGGGATAAAAATAGGTTTTTCCCATTTTTGACCCAAAAAACATAAAATTTAGCAATTTTTTTCCAAACCATTTTGTAGAGCTTAAAAAAACAATAATTTAGTATATTGAAGCGTTATTATGCGCCTAATGGTTACGGAGAAAATTAAAAAAAAATGTAAATTAAAAATTCCCATGTTATTCTTATGGAGAACAAGCAAACTGTTGTAGTTTGCTTAGTTTGCTTGTTTATGAACATATTTTGATCAAATTTGGAAAATGTTTTTATTTCTTAACAACTATTAACATTTTACAAAAAAAAAGTTTTACCCTCCCTGATGCAGAAACCTAAGTACTTGTTAAACTAATTCTTTTAAAATAGGAAATACATGTTATATTTACAAGAGACATTTTAGTATAAATCCAGTCAGGCAAATGGGAATTCGCTTAGTCTGCAGGTTTGCTGCGGCGGGGGTATTTAATGAGATATTTTAGTGAAAATCGATTCAGTGAGGCACATGGAAATTTGCTTACTCTGCTGGATCTGGGGTATTTCTAAGAACTATTGTCTTGTAATTTTCTCCATAAAGGCTTTTTGAATCTTTAGCAGGAAGTGAATTCATAGAAAACGAACAGAACTTTGTAAATACAAATTTATTAGCATATAATAAAAAAACTTTAAAAGTCCAATGTGTAAATATTGACTTATTTTAATGACAACTTATAAAAAAATAAAATACACAAATTATTCATGGGATTAAAAAATATTTTGAAAATGCTCGGTTTAGCACGGCTTTAACTTGATAATCATTAATTACCTGCCAAAAAATATTGTAATTTCAACATCATATGATGAGGGAGAGGGATTGTCCCTGAACTGGTTATAGCATAGACAAAAAGAAATAAATAAAGACTGTCAGCTGTGCTGTGTGTCACTCATTATTAAGATAAAATATTGTTTTTAATAAAAAAATACTTTATTCATAAACATTAGTAAAATTAAGATTACTTAAGAGAACAGCTGATGTAGGGAATGTTACATCACAATCCATGAGTTGACAGATGAGTGTTCGGTTGGGTTTTCCTAGCAAAAGTCTTCTCACAGACGACACACTTGTGATTCTTGATGATTCCCCCCAAAAAAGGGGGGATTTAAAAATTGTAATGCTAAATAATTAGTTTGAATTCTTCCCCTTTAATTACGTATTACAGTATAAATTTCTTTATTTATTCATAATTTTGAAAAATCTACCAAAAGTTAGGGGGTCCATTTAAAACCAAAAAAACTCCAGACTTTTCAAGCACTGAAAGACATAAAGTTAATATGAACTAGAGGCCGTCCAGTGGTCAAAAACTCTACCAAAAATATGTAATGTACAGACTTATCTATTTTCACCCAACGCTGATTAAAAATAAAACATGTGATTGGAATTTCTTTAATTTTTTTGATTTTCTGTTTATATTTTGCTGTTATTTTGCCACCCATAAGGCCCATGCTATTTTTTTCAAGTTTAAAGTTCATTTTTTGTGCTTATTTTTGAGCCTATTTTAATATATAATGGGATTCTGCATATCTACAGGAAAATATCTCTCTAACGGTATGCATTGATTTTCCAAGCTGAGAAAAAGGTTGTAAAGAATCATGCTTGCTATTAATATATACTATAGTAGTTGTCCAGTGGTTGAAAACTCGACCAAAAATATGTAATGTACACGCATTGACTATTGGATATTGAAGTAGACATTCCATCTGCCATTTTTAAATAAAAAAAAACCTGTAGTTGTGTAAGCTAATCACAGTATGCGTGTCAAAAATGATATTTTCTATCTTATTTTTTTATACTGACAAAGATGATGGGTCATAACAGTTGCATTAGCTCTGAATAGGCCTAAGCCATTCCATAGGTTCGACTTCGTAAAAATCACCGTATATTCAAGAAAAAAATTATTGATTTAGATCAGAGCAATCTGGCGGCCCACATCAACTACGACAAATTTAATAAAAAACTGGCAAAAACTTTAAAATGGGGATGGAAATTGCAAATCGTTCTACCAAATTCATTGTAGTAGTCTTTACACTTGTGTGCAACAAAAGGACTAATTACAAACTCTAACCTAAAACTCAGAATCGTTAGAGTCCAAGAATTTTCTGTACGTTATGAAAAGTAGGAAACAAGGTCAGTCGACGGATGCTTTCACCCCTTCAAGCAGTAGCAGTGACGGTAACGGGCAACGTTAGTTGGGTAGTGTACTTTGTGTAGGTTAACTGTTGCTTACTGGGTAGGTAAAATGGATGGTTTATGTGTATTCCTATAATAGTTTTAGCATATCTGGAAAATTTCACACTTAATATGCATACAAACTGCTGTTAAATAAAGATTTTAATAGACTACAAGATCCCCGTATGTAGAACGGGCACACAGATAGTGATTATTATTGCAGAAATTAATAGACAGCTGGGTTTTCAACCTTAGTCAATATATGCAGTTACAGTAAACATGGTTCATTCAACATAGCCACTAACACTGTGCTCTTGTTGTGGAAACCTTTTAAAAGAATTGTGCTTCTGTTGATAAATCTTCTTCATTCAAGAAAATTAAGTAAAGGTTCACATTTAATAACTCTGTGATCTAACTCACACCTTGTGTTAGTGTTAAGATAATACTTTATTTTGATTATTAATTTTAACAACCTTGAATGAATTGGTTACAATAAGTTGGCAAGATGAATGTAACCTAATTAATACTGAATATTTATATGATATTAATGTAAAACACAAACTCTTTCAAAGTGAAACACAACATTGTACAATGTAGCTGAATAAATGTGACAGAAATAAGTTGATCAAAAAGGAAATAAGTAGAATGTAAGAATTAGTTCTGTCTGATGTTTACTAGGTTCTCGTTCATTGAATATTTCAAGTAAAGATGTGTTGCCTCCTCAGTTACTGTTCAGCAGTTCAGCCGACTTTGACAAAGAGGTAAGGGTTGATCCTGGTAAACCATCTTGCCATAAAACCCACCTTAAATGATGAAAATCAAGAAATGAAAAAAGCAGGCAACTAATATCAGTTGCAAACTTAATACTTTGAAATTATAAAATGAAAAAAATTATGATGTCATTCATATTTAGGAAAATCTAGTTTTAAATAAAACATTAATTTATTCATAAACAATAGTAAAATTAAGATTATCTAAGAAAACTGTTGATGTAAGGGATGTTGCATTACAATCAATGAGTTGACAGATGAGTGTTCAGTTGGGTTTTGCTAGCAAAAGTCTTCTCACAGACAACACACTTGTGATTCCTGGCGATTCCATGAACAGCCATGTGTTGTTTGACATGTGTTCTTAGTTTGAATGTCTTTCCACAAATGTTGCACTCATGAGGTCTGCTATCTGCATGTGTATGCTCATGCTGCTGTAAATTATTTTCCCTTTTAAATGCTTTGCCGCAAGTGTGACAAATGTACGGTTTATCATCAGAATGTGTCAAGGAATGGAATCTTAATGTTTGTTTTGTTTTGAGCATTTTACCACATATTTCGCAGCTGTGAACTGTACCTAAGTGATCAATTCTAAGATGTTCCAACAAAGTATCTTTAACAGTAAACATTCTACCACAATTTGCACATTTATATTTCTCCTGAGGCAAATGGTGTTTTTTTATGTGCTTCGCTAAACTCTCTTTACACACAAAATCACTGTTACATTCTCCACATTGGTATTCCTTTGTATCCACATGCATTAGAGAAGTATGTCGTGTTAGATTCATTTTCCGAGCAAATGACCTATTACAAAGTTTACATGTAAAAGAGAGATTTTTCTTCAATTGATAATGTTTCACGAATATGCCTGTTGAGCACCGAAGTCTGAGTAAAACCTTTGTTACATATTTTACAAATCTCTTTTTTTAAACATCCCAAATGTATGCGTGATATATGAGACTTTAATGCAGAGTAACTGCAAAATGATTTGGCAGAAGTTGTACACTGGTACTTATTGATATTAGTATGTGTAGTTTGATGATGTCTTCTCAAATGCCTTTTATCTATGTATCTGCGGTCACAGAGAGCACATTTAAAATATTCTTTTAGGGAACCTCTATTATCTTTTACACTATTTGGCATGACAAACGTTCCAAAGTCACTTTTACACTGAACACACTCACACAGAACACCATTCAACTGAGCTGTGCACTTTCCTTCTTTAATTTGAATCTGAAACATACAACACTGACCTTCAGACTGATAAGCTAAGAGTTTAGAGTATCCTTTGTACAATTTTAGTTAATATTAAGTTTTAATGTGTTTTCAGTGAGGATAATAACAAAGTTATAATTACAAAGGTTGAACATAGAATACTAAAGGGAATGAAATGAAATATTACTTTATTATCACAAAAACATTTCACAGATCCAGCGTTAGCTAGTGAAACAGGTGATATTGTCACAGATCTTAAACACTAAGTTACATAACAAAACTAAAATCCACATACGGTAGCTTAAACTGAAATATATTTACTTATCATTTAAATAATCGGAAATCTTAAAATAATTTTTTTGTACAAGGTATTGTTTGAAATCATTTTTAAATTTTGAAATACTGTTAATTTCTTTGAAATTAGAGGGTAGACTGTTGTAAAGCCTTAATCCAATATAATAAGGAGCTCTTTCATATAAACAAAGGCTATGTCTTGGACATTAAAAAATTAGCTGATGCTTGATGGGAAATCTGTGCGTGCTTCAATTTAATACCTCAATCATGAAAATCGGTCGGGTAGAAGAGCCAAACGATCTCGGAAAAGAAAAACCAAATTTAACTCCTATAAGAAATATACTAATTCACAAACCAATTCATCGCTAATATATGGGTTAATAAAAATATTACATAAGGTTTCCCCAAGTAAGCCTAGAACAAGCCTTCAAACACAACTTCAACTGTTAATTTAGTTGGATGGGCTCAAAGCGAACATGTTTGTTATATTATTTAAAATGGAACTTTCAATTAACCTCCAAACAGGATGTTGAGACTATTAGTATGCGATTCAGGTTAGTGTCGTCATTTGATTATATTATTTATGATCTATACCGTTTCTGTTCTAATATCCGTGTAGTAATGCTATCAGCTATTTCTTGATCTACGTCATTCAAAATCTACCAGCTGATCTTATGCCTTTGTTTATGTGTCAAATACTGCTTCCATAAGGATTACATTGAAACTTTGAGGGCCCGTGGGGCGGATTCCTAAGAGATTTTTTTAACGTCATATAGATGTTGGCACTCACCGATAGGGTCTTTAACACCATGCAAAATTTGAAAACTATTGCTTTAGGCGTCTAGGAGGAGTTTGCGTATTACGAGATGCATAAGAGTCGACGTACAATGAGGGGTAAATCTAATATTTTAAAGGAGATATTTGAGTGAAAATCGATTCAGTGAGGCACATGGTAATTTGATTTGTCTTCTGGTTTGCTGGAGCTGGGGTATTATAACTATTGTTTTGTAATTTTCTCCGTGAAAACTTTTTGATTCTTTAGCAGGAAGTGAATTCATAGAAAACGAACAGAACTTGGTAAAATTCAAATTTATAACACAAAATAAAAAAAAAAAACTTTAAAAACCCAATGTGTATATTGACTTAATTTAAATGAGAACTCATAAACACCTAAAATACATAAATTATTGATCAGGTCAAACAAATATTTTAAAAAAGCTCAGCTCAGCTGTGGTTTCTGTCTGCTGATTGTGCATTTCAAGTAAAGATGTGTTTGCCTCCACTGTAATTGTTAAGCCATCACAGTGGAACGACTTTAACAAAAAAGTAAGGGTAGATCTGCGTAAACCCAAATCTTGCAATAAAAGTAACCATCAAAAAAATAATTATCAAAAATTCGCAAAATATCGCAAATTTTTCATGAAATTAAAAACATAAACATAACTATAACAATCGTACTTTGACAGTTAGTTCTCATTGCTTATCACATTTTTTTTGCCACTTCAAATAATCTGTTTTCATAAATGCAAACAAATATAGTGCTGCACCCTGTTGGTAAACCTTATAACTTTTTAATGCTTTTCCCTATCATAGAACCAACTTTTTTTGTTGAAACAGCTGACTAAATTCTTTAATCCACTTTAAATATAAATACTCATCAGGTTAACATGGGGAACTACAGAGCCACTGGGGCGGATCCCGAAAAAGGTTTTGAGATAAGAATATGCCTATATGTTCATTGGGAATGTGAGCTATCATCATGCCAAATTTCAACCCAATCCGTCCAGTAGTTAATGCGTGATTGAACTTCAAACAAACAAACAAACAAACACACAAACATTCACATTTATAATATTAGTAAGATTCATAAACACAAAAAAATATATTATTTTAGAAAAAAGCTATGGAAGTGGATGTTACATTACAATCCATGAGTTGACATATGAGTGTTCAGTTGAGTTTTCCTGGCAAAAGTCTTCTCACAGACAACACACTTGTGATTCCTGGTGATTCCATGGACAGCCATGTGTTGTTTGACATGGGTTCTTAGTTTGAATGTCTTTCCACAAATGTTGCACTCATGAGGTCTGTTATCTCTGTGTGTATACTCATGCTGCTGTAAATTACCCTCTCTTTTAAATGCTTTGCCACAAGTATGACAGACGTACGGTTTATCATCAGAATGTGTCAAGAAATGTAATATTAATGTTTGTTTTGTTTTGAACATTTTCCCACATATTTCACAGCTGTGAACCATACATAAGTGATCGTTTTTTAAATGTTCCAACAAAGTATCTTTAACAGTAAAGATTCTACCACAATTTGCACATTTATATTTCTCCTGAGGCAAATGGTGTTTTTTTATGTGCCGCACTAAACTCTCTTTACACACAAAATCACTGTTACATTCTGCACATTGGTATTCCTTTGTATCCACATGTACCTGATAAGTATGTCGTGTAAGATTTTTTTTCTCAGCAAATGACTTATTACAAAGTTTACATATAAAAGAGAGATTTTTGTTCAATTGATAATGCACATTACGAATATGGTTCTTGAGCGAACTCTTTGAAACCAAACCTTTGTTACATATTTTACAAATCTCTTTTTTTAAACATCCCAAATGTACGTGTGAAATATGAGACTGCAATGCAGTGTAATTGCAAAATGATTTGGCACAAGTTGTACACTGGTACTTATTGGTATTAGCATGTGTAGTTCGATGATGTTTTCTCAAATAACTTTTGTCTATGAATCTGCGGTCACAGAGAGCACATTTAAAATATTCTTGTAGGGAACCTCCATTATCTTTTACAGTATTTGGCATGACAAACGTTCCAAAGTCACTTTTACACTGAATACACTCACAAAGAACACCATTCAACTGAGCTGTGCACTTTCCTTCTTTAATTTGCACCTGAAACATACAAAACTGACCTTCAGACTGATAACCTAAGAGTTCAGAGAATCCTTTGTACTTTTTTAGTTAATATTTAGTTTTAATGTGTTTTCAGTCAGGATAATTATAATTACAAAGGTTGAACATACAATACTAAAGGGTGAGGCATTGAGAGAACCACAATTTTATTTTGCTTTTGAATGAGAAATATTGCAACAAAAAAAATGGACTGTGTTTAACCCCTATTAACTATGCCTTAAAACTATTATAAATACAGTACTATTACAAGTCTTTAGACAGCCAAAGTGTGTTAAGTTACAGCTGACATTTTTCAAATATTGTTTAACATAAAAGTTGAAAGTTGAAACACATTAACTGTGAACTTAAGTCTGATACAAAGAACTTTAAATTGTAGGTTATCAAATAGGTTTGATACAAAATTACAGTTAATTATTGATGAATAACCTCAGAAATATTCCGTGGAAATTTTCTGTTTTCTTGTTCATCACAATTTTTTTATTCAATGTTGTCAAATATTTGTATTACTAAATGTATTCATTTTACATTCCCAGTAGCAGTTATAACCAAGTGCTCATCCATGTATAAAGCTAGGATGGATTTGACCTTTTAAGAAAACCATAAGCCGCACACCTATCAATTGCATACTTAAATGAAAGGTATTACTGTGAAACTTCTCCGAAATCTATCAGGGTTTCAATAAGCCCTCTGCTAAGGGCAGGAACATAATTTAAAGGACTGTATATAATTACATTTAAAACATTGAAGATACACCAGCTGTGGATTTCTTTTGGATTTAGTTTGTTGGTTTACTTTTCCTTGCCCGGCGCGCGTTGTTGCGGTTAACCACTATTATTTTAAACTAGGTTAAACCCGTCGAAATCGACGTTTACTTTAAAGGCTTATGCTAATTCATCTAACTGCAATAAATTGAATGGAATTATATATATTTTAAACATTTAGCTTTGTTTAAAGAGTAATAAGTGTAAAAACAATAATGATATTAAATGTGTTAGTTACCAAATACGGTTGATCATTCAATGAATAAAATATTTCCCATACCGTACGTCATCGGCATTATATTAGTATGTTAACTGGTATCTCTTCTTTTGGAAGAACCTTTAGATAATATTAAAATCGTATTGGTGGATCTTTTGTTGTTTAAAACTTCCGCGGTTTCATCTGTGTAATAAAGATTAATCTATGACTTTATTTGAAAAAAATATCTGTTTGTTGAGAAGACACGTTCTAACTTCAAAGGGAGGTCCATCCGTAACAGTATAAGTTTGATTTTCCCTTTGTCACGTCGCATCAGTTCATATCGTACTTCTGTGCCGATGAATAACCCTCTAGCATAGTTTTGAGAAATTGGTTGTGGGGTTTGTTAAGCTAATAAGACACTTCTGCACTTGTATTATTGTGTATTGCATTACACAATCAAATATTTTTCCAATGATTGAAAACATGTGTTTCTCATGAACCTATGATGATCTGTCTAGAATAATATGGTAAAATATAGCCAAAAGTGGTGAAAAAGGCAGACACCAACCCGTACAATAGATATAAGATAGTTTAATAAGAAATAGTTGTAAGAGTTACTGTGATAAAAGGATTTTCCACCGATTTCGTAATGGAGCGTTATATAGCAAAACATGACATGATACAGAAGAAAATCAATTTTAAAATCAGAAAATAACATTGCAAAAATACTTCTTTTGGACAATTCAGTAACTCCCAATAAATGAGTGTTTTTTAAAAATACAATTAAAAAAATAACAGCTGTTTCATTAAAAAGTATTATGCACATGGCCAAAATGTAAACAAATCTGTGGAGGGATCTTTAAAGACTTATGGGGCAGAGCCCTAAGGGAATTTACTTTGTTTTTCATTTGTTAACTTATCTACAAACCAAGACATTTCTTTGGTCACCCCTACCAAGTTTCTACGCGCAGCCGTTCTCTCAAATTAATGGAGACGAAGTTTCCAACTAAATATTTAGATTCCCCCATGTTAATCTTATGGGAGAAAACCCAACTTTGATGGAAGAACCTGCCCAAACTAATAGAGATTTCAAAAAACAAAAAACACTTTGCAAAACTACAGATCAGGGTAATTCTTTTGACACTTTAATCATTAGGCTTAGTGTATTATATATATAGAAGATGGTAATTTGTTCTTTACGATGAATAATAAAAGTGTATACCAAAAATAAAAATTATTGAATATTTTACTAATTGCTAGTGGATAAACAATGCTTTTTGTTTTTTCATTAGGTGTATAAATACACCTAATACTCACTAATACTAATTGCCTACCAAAAAATATAGACGATTGGTAGTTGTTATTAGGTGGACCTAAAATTTTCAGTTATGTGTTAAGAATTAATTAAATTATCTAGGTTTAAAAACTAAACTTGACGAGATAGACAATATGAATATGTTTAAAACTACAGTAAAGTATTCAATACGATTCTGTTAATCTGTTTATACATCAAGTAGTAGAATTGTTTTTCTAGGATTTGGAGGGGATATCGGTATTCAAATATAGATTATTTAATTACCATTAGATTAATAATTTTATTATAATTGATGGTTATATGATTAATTAATCTTTCCCCTTAAATTGCTCAAATATTAAACATTTGCTCAAATAAGTTAAAGAATATTAATTTTAAAAAAATTTGCATTAATTATTATATGTTAAGCAGTGTGTTTCCCACTGTATCTAGTATCACAACATCATCTGATTACATTTATTATGGATCCAATTTTCTCCAAACGTCTTATATTCTGCTGCCATAGCATTTATGTTCTTATAAATAAATTAATTTGTTAAAATGTGTTTTAGAATGTTTTATACTTAAATCCAACAAACACCCAACGATTTTTCCTACAAATCGTATCCTATTGATAAAACTAAAGGAAAAAATAATATTGTAGGTCCGTATCCTAGATACAAGTTTCCGTAGGGCCAACAATGTGTACTACTTGGGTACAGTGTATAGTGTATATATATATATACCTTGTGAATCATCAAATTGCAATAAATAAGAATAATGTTTACATTAAGGGGAGAGGGGGCAGCGTAACTACGTACGCCTCTGGCATATCATTTATAGATGAAAAATTTTATTGTTTGTTAACACTCAACCTTTGTTGATAAAATTATATAAAATGCATTCTAAATTATATATTTTTGTAAGCATACTAAATAAATAAGTATATATAATTGAGAACTCTATCAATAATTAATTATATATGCTGGGTTATAATTTTGTTTGTTAGTTAAATTAATTGTGTTTAGATCAAGTATACTAAGTTAATCTGATGTCTACGTATATATATATCTACGTCTATTAGATGTCTGTGTTAAAATGTCAAATGAACATTCAGACGCAGACATCTAATAGGGCCTAGACGTAGATATATATACGTAGACATCAGATTAACTTGGTATACTTGATCTAGACGTCAAATCGACATCGTGTGCTGTCTGGGGTGTCCCTAGGATACAATTTTCAACTTTTACGCTGTTTTTAGACTAAATTATTCATGTCGAAATAGATAAAGCCATGTTTACAAAATAGAAAATAGATAAAGCCGTAGGTCTCATGGTAAGAACTGGACCCAGGACCGATTTACTTTTTTGTTTTGAGGTCCACAGAGGCCAAAAACACCATCCGTTCAAATTCATATATATATATATGTGTCCGTTAGCACGATAACTCGAACAAAAATCATCCGATTTTGATGAAATTCGGTATAAAAATGTAAACCTACATTTATTCGAACGAGTTTTGCGAACCAGCATGATCGGACCATGGGAACGGGGGTTTATGGGGGGTTTTATGGGGTAAAAATGTGGTTTTCCAATTTTTGGCCCTAAAAACATAAAATTTTGGAATTTCTTTCCCAACAATTTTGTAGAGCTTAAAAAAAGAACTAATATAGTATATTGAAGCATCGTTGTATGCCTAATGGTTACGAAGAAAATTAAAAAAAATGCAAATTTAAAATGTCCATGTTATTCTTATGGAGAAAATGAAAACTGTTGTAGTTTACTTGTTTATGGATATATGTTGATCAAATTTGGCAAATTTATTTATTTCATCCTATACTGTTTATCTTCCCTGTAGCAGCAAACCTAATTACTCGTAAAATCTAATGTTATTTAAATTGGGAATAAATATGTCTTATTTATGGAAATATTTTAGTAAATATGTAATCAGACAAGTTGAAATTCGCTTAGTCTGCAGGTTTGCTGCAGCAGGGGGTATTTATGCCATCAATAGCTATTAAACTTACAAAAAAGGAGCATATAATAATTTTGTTTTCATTGAAAACTGACTACCATGACAAAATAGGTCTGTCCCTCGATTTGACGTCCCGACCATTATGGCAAAATTTGCAATTTTGGAACACGACAGTGGCAATCCTGGCAGCAATAAAGTCAGTTGGTTTTAGAGACTGGTTCGGGATGTGCGTTAGTTTTGTTGTACTGGTGGTTTTGCAGTAAAAAATTATTTACAAGATTAATATAGGTAACTTTGTGCTTTTTGTAATTTTAGTGTGTCTACGACCGTACATAGTCATGTAATAAAGTAGACATGTTGTTAATTTTTGATTATATGATATTTTAATTGCTACGTTAACCTAGAAATCCATTTTGCTTCCTCAAACATGAGGTGTAAGACTCTCACCAGAACAGAGCCAAATAATACCGGTACGTGATTTCACAACCAGTGTATCACGATTATCACAGGTGTTTTCACGACCAAAATAGCTTAATCAATTGTACTGTGTTATGGTCAAGAAAATAAATTTTAATATCATTGTAAATTGCACAGTTTAGTTTAATTGCAACACAATTTTTTCTTATAACAATACAATTAATTGAAAGATGTCAAAAAATTAGATTTTTAACTATTTTTACATAGGCATGTATCTTTATTGCCTCGTATAAGTTAAAGCTTATAGTGTATAGGGGCTATGTGTAAAATT